ATTAAATTCTTCTTGAAAATTGATAATGCAAAAATTCATTGAACCAATACTGTATATTAAATCAGTTTAAATTGCCTCAATTATTTTGGCTTCCGTTGACGTCAAAAGAAAAGAATTTTGCATTAGTTCAAAAGAATTCATTTGAATATTTTATTAGGAGTCTTCGGGACAGTCCCGAAAATTTTTTTGGAGACGAGACATTCGGGATCGAGACTATTCAGAAAAAACCGATGTCCCCAATTTTCTCAATTTACATATCAAAACGCGTCGTCAATTTGAGACTTCTTATATCTAAAAAGTATTTTAATATTTAAATAAATAACATAGCAGAAAAATCTACGGCCAGATGCCTTCGAATCCGTTCACTATCATTTCTTTTGTCAGTTATTTTACTTTTACTATAATTTAGACCTATTGTCTCGTTTAGTTAGTGTACTCTGCGCATCAATCAGTATAAGCGTGAGGGTGAACGTGTACTTCAACTACAATTTTTTCCGCAAATTAATCTCTTTTTTCTTACACTTCGGCTATGAACAAGAAAAATTGTCATTACTATTCCAATATTTCATTTGATAAGTAGAAAATTATTAATTTCATGTGCACCCAGACGTATTCTTCGATAGGTATTGTGCTGCGAATTATATAAATTAAAAGATAGCTAGTTCGTCTAATAACTATCTATATGAATACAAGTTGTCTTTTGATGGTATCGAAAATATGTTCTTCTTTGACAAAGCGATATTTTTGTATTCCTTTCTATTAACGGAACTAACGAGATTTTATGAAACAATTCGAAAAAAATTTGGAACGGGACTCAGGACACGAAAACGTTTGTTCCGAAGATCTCTATTATTTATAATGGATGATAATATATATCACATATTAGAACAATACTTACCCTCGAGATAAAACATAATCTGTTTCAGCATATTCATAAGCAAATGTTTGTCTTTGAAAACTATAACGATCTTGTATACGACGATTAACAAACATATTTAAATAAGCATGTTGATCATATTGTGAAAAATCTTTATCAATAACTGGTAAATTAATTGATTGTTGAGCAAAATGAATTGCACCATCATCATTTGTTGTACCCAAAATAACAGATACATTGGCAAATAATCCTAAACGACGAAGTTCAATAGGTCGACGTGTGAAGATTGGTCGGATAGAATCATCCGTAAAGGGATCAATTGTAGGACGCCATGGATGACCACCAAATTCATCTGGAAACTAGAAAAGAAAAAAAAAAAGAACAATATATCAAATGAGTAAATTTATTTTTACTAACCCAAACATGTTTAGCAGAATTTATAATATCAAGTCCATTTCGTTGTCTTAAACAATCAAGTAAAACATCAATATTTCTATCATTACATGTTAAACGTCTTGCTAAAAATCTAGCTTGTTCAAGTGGATAATGTTCATCTTCAATAATTGACCATTTACATAGATCACTTCCACTCATCATAACAGCACGACGAAAATAAACTTCAATTAAAAAAAAAAAAACTTTCTTTAAAATAAAAATTTATCTATTAAACAAATATACGAGGTGTATTTTGAGATAATAAATGTAAACCAATACTAGCTGCTCCAGCTTCATGACCAATAACAGTTATATTTTCTGGATCACCATTAAATTCTCTTATATTATCATAGACAAATTTTAATGCCATGCGTTGATCAAAAAGACCATAATTTCCTCTACCATTCAATGTTTGCGTACTCAAAAAACCTTCAGATAAATAATTCATATAAAATTTTCTTTTTTTTTTTTTTATAATTCATTATATCTATACCTAATGGACCAAGTCGATAGTTAAAAGTAACAACAACAACATTTCGTTGTGCTAAAATAAATCCATTATAAATTTGTGAACTTCCTCCAATAAAATCTCCACCATGTATAAATACAATGACGGGTAATTTAGGCATATAACGATCAGTTCTCTATCGAACAAAAAAAAAATTACATAAAACTGTTTTTCTTTGTTATAATAAAGAAATAAAAATGAACTCACATTGGGTGTAAATATATTTAAATAAAGACAATCTTCACTAAAATTTGATGGAGGAAAATTTGGAATATATTGACGAATTTTTTCTTGTTCATTTGCTGGTTGTAAACATGATGGTCGATAATGAGTTGCATCATAAATCAAAAATTTGGTATCCCATGAATCAGGTGGTAATGGAGGCTTAACAAAAAAAAATAAATTAAATATACTAAAAAGTACATTGATACAAGAAAAAAAAGGTTACTTTAAATCGATAGAGACCAACTAGAAGAAAAAATATGAATAAATTTTAGAAAAAAAATTATTTTTTTTTTTTTTACCAGGTGGTCGAGCATAAGGAATTCCAAGAAAGACACTAATATATTTCGGATAGAATGAATCTTGTGAATTAACATGATAACTTGTACCTCTTACATATCCATATTGAGTATGTCGATCAACCTTGAGAATAGAATTCGAAAAGAAAACTTCAAAGAAAAATAAATAAATAAATAAATATTCATACGTGAAAGATAGGTGGAAGACCGTACATATAAGGATTAAAACGATGATGATTTTCAATATCGAAAAGAAGATCATCAAAATATGATTGAACAGATTGAATAATAATTAGATTTACAAAGATAAACGTAAATAACATTTGTATAACAAGTGTGATTGATCTTCTGTTCTTTTTTTTAAAATATTCAAATAGTAAAAAACGAAAAAAAGTTGTAAACTTTAGTCATCTGCCATCAATGTTTGATGAGTATGTGCTGCTAAATTACGATTGGTTCACATTGTAATTGAATAAATTGAACTATAAGCAAAAAGGAAGGAACAAATTGATGAATATGTTGCAACATGATGACAAATAAAGAAAGGATGTCATTTCAATATTGTGAAGTTCAATGTTAGAAAGATATCTATGAAGTTCTGGATTTAACATTATCGAATGTAGATACGAAATCAAAGAAAACTCTACCACATCAAAGCCTTGTGAAATCTTTTGCACTTTAAGTTTAGTAACATTTTTGTTTTTATTACGGCAGTCTAGGTCAAAAGATTCCTGTTGTTTTTTATCTGTGTCAAGAATGAGAATAAAGATTTTATATATAGAAGTACGGAAGGAAAAGATTAGTAGTTTGTTTCTCTTGAATATATAGAATTGTAGACCAAGCAATTTTCTATAAAGTTATTAGTGAGATTTTTACTATTGACAATTCAGCGTTCATTGTAAGTTAATGTTCAACATTATTTAAAAACAAAAAGAGGAATTCCGATTACAGTCTCGATTGGATTTCTTCATAAAAATGTAATTAATGCAAAAACAATAAATTGTATAGACTATAGACTTATTATTTTGTAGCTCATTAGGATTCTAGGTCTTGGGTATTATTCTTTTGTCTTTGAGTGTTTTTAGTGCGTATCCATCCTTCTTATTGAAATAGAAACAAACTCGGAAATCTTCAAAAATATTAATGATTTCTTATGAAATGTGATGAAATATTCTTTGATTCTTATGATATAATAGAAAAGAATTGAATAGATTTTGTTCTGAATAGACATTCTAAAATTTCATTGTTGTTTTTTTATATGAATTGATTGCATGTTTATTGTAATTTTATGTTTTGTTTTTATACGTTACACTGCGCTAATTAGTTTCTAATATTACACAAAAAAAACATATATCAAAAACTTACCTTAGAGAAATCTAAAGATACTACGCACGAAAGGTCTAAAAGATTGATTTTTGCTACCATGTCATGTTAAAAGAGTCTTTAATTATTTTGTTTTCTTCTCAATTGAACTCAAAAAGTTGGTATAGTTACATCTAACTACTTACACTATTCGAATATGAGAATGATTGAATTTTTCATCAGAATTATTTTCGAGTAAGCAATATACATTCATTATTTGATTTTTGTCATATGATATTAAAATAGACTCTATGAATGAATAAGTCATTTAAAAATGCTCAGAGCATTGTTGAATGAAAATCAATCAATGGAAGATAAAATCTTTTAAAAGAATGGTATTATTTTTTGAAAAGAGGCAAATTTGAAGTACAACTTGAAAATTCGATTGTCATACATTTTTATTCATTCATTGTAGAAAAGTACTGTTGAAAATATCAGAATCTGCGAATGTGTAGTATACGAAAACAAGCAAAAATATAGTTAGAATGTGTCATGAGAGATTATTAAATGCATACATTTTTTACAACTTAGATCAAAATAAATATGTTATATATTAAATTATATTTTATTTAAAGAATTTTCACGATTAGTGCTAATTGATTATAAACTATATTTCCATGAAATTCATACAAATTTTGAAAACTTCTTTAATTTAAATGACATCACATCATCAATATATATACATTGGTGTACATGATATTAAAGCAAGCATTATGCCACAAACATATCACTTGCATTTATAGAAATTTTTTTTTCTGTAAATAATCTCAGCTATTTCAAACTATTCTGAAAATCACTCATATTTTGGAAATTTTTCGATGAATTTTGAAAGAAATCTTATATTTCACCAGAAAAGTCTGCCAACTAATTAATGACTTTTGAGTCGGGACTTATATGGATCATAATCAACTATAAATTTCCAAACAAACAGATTTCGGGTTTTTAGCTTATTGCTATAGAGATAATACATTTTCACGATGTTTTGAAGTCATTGTCGTGATCCTACTCTGCAACATCAGAAAAACTCATTTTCAAATTTCAATTTGAAACATTGTGTCAAGGCAGTTTTTAACGAGAATCAATAAATTATTTTCATTTAACGCCCCACCTCCCCCCCCCCCCACAACCCCCCCCCCCCCACACCGCACCACCCCGCGATACGGTCTATCCACAGATGGTGGCAGGGTGGCGAGGGNAGAAGAACGCGCGCGCCATTCGTCGACCAAGAGAAAGAAGAGTAGGCAGCAGCATATATATATATACTTTCATCTTAAATTTCACTAAATAAATTGCAATCATGTGTGACGACGATGTAGCAGCACTTGTTATTGATAATGGTAGTGGTATGTGTAAAGCTGGATTTGCTGGTGATGATGCTCCACGTGCTGTATTTCCATCAATTGTTGGTCGACCACGTCATCAAGGTGTTATGGTTGGTATGGGACAAAAAGATTCATATGTTGGTGATGAAGCACAATCAAAACGTGGTATTCTTACATTAAAATATCCAATTGAACATGGTATTGTTACTAATTGGGATGATATGGAAAAAATTTGGCATCATACATTTTATAATGAACTTCGTGTTGCACCAGAAGAACATCCTGTACTTCTTACTGAAGCACCACTTAATCCAAAAGCAAATCGTGAAAAAATGACACAAATTATGTTTGAAACATTTAATACACCAGGTAATATAAGTCAAATTTAAATTTAAATCAACAATATTTTAATCATTCATTTGTTTTATTTAGCAATGTATGTTGCTATTCAAGCTGTACTTTCTTTATATGCATCTGGTCGTACAACTGGTATTGTACTTGATTCAGGTGATGGTGTTACACATACAGTACCAATCTATGAAGGATATGCATTACCACATGCTATACTTCGTCTTGATTTAGCTGGTCGTGATTTAACAGATTATTTAATGAAAATTTTAACTGAACGTGGTTATTCATTTGTAACAACAGCTGAACGTGAAATAGTTCGAGATATAAAAGAAAAATTATGTTATGTTGCACTTGATTTTGAACAAGAAATGGCTACAGCTGCATCATCATCATCATTAGAAAAAAGTTACGAATTACCCGATGGACAAGTCATTACCATTGGTAATGAACGATTTCGATGCCCAGAGGCTCTTTTTCAACCAAGCTTTCTTGGCATGGAAACAGCTGGTCAGTTTGAAATTTCTTTTATGAGCTTTTTTCACTATTATTTCCCTATTATCAATTATAGGCATCCATGAAACGACATACAATTCAATTATGAAATGCGATATTGATATTCGTAAAGATTTATATGCTAATACTGTTCTTTCTGGAGGTAAGATGATTTCAAATCATTGGTTTGCTTATTTATCATTGATATTATTACATAGGTAGCACAATGTATCCAGGTATTGCTGATCGTATGCAAAAAGAAATAACATCATTGGCACCATCAACAATGAAAATAAAAATCATAGCACCACCTGAACGAAAATATTCCGTATGGATTGGTGGTTCAATTTTAGCATCATTATCAACATTTCAACAAATGTGGATTTCAAAACAAGAATATGATGAATCAGGTCCATCAATTGTTCACAGAAAATGNAACTTCAAGGGCTATCGAAATCACTATTTAGATTTGATCTTGCTATTCGTCTTCATTGAAAAATCTCAACGACAAAAGGGGGGCGATAATTTTGTTATACCCTGTATCTTCAGATACTTATATCAATTAATAATGATAATCTAGGTAAAAATTTGAAAATATTGAAGTTGAATCAACATTTTGTATTGTTTTAGAAAATGGGCTTCACATTTTTCTAGGATCTCTGATTTAGCAGTTATGAATTAATACATTATATTTCGAACTTGTTTTTGCATAGAATTGAAGGTGAGATTATTCTCTACGAAGTAACATAAGAATCAGAAGTTTTAGAACAATCATTCAGTAATATCCGAGCTCACCTTATAAGTCTATTTTCCATAGAAATCGAGAAAATTGGCACGGCATCCCTTATCAAAATACTCACTATTGACCAATGACTTACAGTAAACTACGTATTAGCCTACCATTGTATAGAAAAATGTTTGTTTTTTCATTTGCTGTATTTAAAATAATTTTTGCTTCTACTTTGGGTAACTTTTAGCACACTAAAGCTCGCTTAAACTCAATTTACGGGCCTTGAAAACGACAGTTCATAACTTTTCAATCGGAAGTTTTACAAAACTTTTGAAGCCATGTTTTGAAAGACTGTAAAATTCGGATACAAACCCAATATTTTCAAATTTCTGCAAGCTCTTTTAAGAGACTGAAAAAATGAACGATCATTTTATCAAATTACTTTTCGATAATCCTTGATTAAAATTTGAAATTAATTTCTTCTAGTTCAACATATAAAATTGTTCATTTTTCAAATTCTCGTAAATATAACAAAGAAAATACTAATCAGAATAATCTATCAGCATTTACACCTAATCAGTCATGTCAAGACTCATCATCATTAACTCGAATCGAACCAACAATAGTCTATGATGAAACTTGGTTATCAAATAAACAATATAATAGACGCGTGGCTGCATTTATTGATCATATAGATGAAAAATTTACTAATGAAAATATAGAAATATCCAATAAACATACATCATCGCGTACATCATCTGTTTATAAAGTATCTACAGAACAAATTATTCATAAAGGAATCTATCCAACAAAACTTGAAACAAATTTACACTTACGTATTGCTGTTAATGGTGTATCGAAGTCTTTGCGAGGACAATTTCCATTATCAAATTCCAATTTAAATAATGGAGACTTTGGTGATGATGCTGGAATGATAGTTGAAAATCGAAACTTTTGTTTTGTTGGTAAATTTAAATTACATAATAAAATAGAAAACAGGACAAATTTTAATATTTTATTATTTTTGATAAAGGTCTAGCTGATGGTGCTGGTGGTAATCGTTCATATGGAATAAATCCAGCTGATTTTTCTCGAGCTATTTTAGCTGCGTGTGAAAAAGTTCTTCATCGAAGTAATTTAAAACCTAATCAATTACCACGATTAATTAAATCAGCTATGCAACAAGTTGAAGCAAGTGAAGTTCAAGGTAGAGATTTTCAAATAAATTATTTTTATTCATAAGATAACAACATAATGAATTTTTTCAGGCAGTAGTACATTATGTTTACTTGCATTGGATAAACAAAAACATACATTAACATCATTAAATATTGGTGATAGTGGATTTGTTATTTATCGTAATAATGAAATATATTGTCGATCAACATGTACAATGAATTCAAATGGTTGTGCACCAAGACAATTATTTGCTCTTAATGATTCAATTGGTTTATCTTGTTTTATGAATGAAACGTAAGTAAAACATTGTTAGTGCGGCTCGTATAAGAGGCTAAAAACTCGAACTCACAAACTCTGACTGTTATAAATTTTTGATATAATATCAGAGAGGTTGAAATAATATGTTTTAAAAAATACTAAAGAAATGAATATATCAAAATTATAACACTTTTCATAATTGATACATACGTTCTGAAATATTATCATTTCGAGAATTACTATTCTCTCAATTTATTGGATTCATTTAACATCGTTATGCTGAAAAAACTTATTTGTATTTTCAAATACACTTTCAATACATTAACTTCTTTTGTTCTCATAATAATATATACGAAATGTACTATAGGAAGCAGCAAATATTATTTTGTTATTCGTTTTAACCAACATATTAGCTTGCTATACACATTAACTTACACGGTCATTAAGCGTCCGAATATACTATCCTTTCTCTCAACGAACTTTGCCATAAACTATTGAGTTTGTCCTGAATTTAGAATGCAATTAGTTAATAATTTTCGATGTCCGTTCTATTCTGACTCTGACAGATCAATCACATCATCAAGTTGCTAATTGACATCTAAAATAAGACCCTTTTGCTGCATTTAATACCAAAACCTACAATATTTATACTAGTTAGAATCTACAGTAGAAATTTTAGATACATAGAATACTTTGAAAGATTCTAGAAAATTCCAGAATGATCAAAGTAGTGTTATTATCGATGTACCTTTTTTCATTGCTAGAAAAACGTGTTCAATGATTTTTAGCTTTCCTTCTCCTATCCTTGCTTGCTAGAGTCCAGCAGGAGCAAAATATACACTAACTATTTTTCTCGAAAGTGTATATAAATTCCACAAAAATAAAATTTCTATTAATTCTTTTTATTTTTTTTTTTTTTGTATTATCGTCTAGTAAATTTCTACAAGACTGCTCATTACATAATGTTAAAGTCCAAAAAGGTGATATTATTATATTATCTTCTGATGGTTTATGGGATGTAATTGAATGTGATCAATTACAAAAAGTTGTTGAACGTAACAAAAATAAAGTAAAACTTTTATATGAAAAATTTTTATATATGATATATAAAAGATTTCTTTTATATAGAGACTTCAAGATTTAGCTGATGATCTTCTTAAACAAGCAGTTGATGGTATGTTCAAATAGTTTTATAATTAATCAAATATATATATATATAGTTTTATTATTAGGATATATTACTGATGGTCGAGATGATATATTAATAATAGTCTGTCGAGTTGGTGAATCATGATGACATTCATCCGTATTATTTTATTCGAAACAAATCCAATAATTCATATTTCATTAACATTTTATGGAAAGTTCTTTTTTGCACATTACTTCGATGTGAATTCATAATAAAAACAGACGAAATTAAATTTATTTATAGATGAGTTCAATCTCATTCGAGAAGATTCAACCATTGACATTAATATTTCAAATATTCATTCACAATCGATAGATAATATGAAATCTAAAATTTTATTCTTGAAACTAAAAATATCGAATAATCTTAGATTTTAACAAAGTTAATTTATGCACAACCATCATATCGAGAATTGTGTCTAAGTAGCCTATTTTATTCTTAAAGGACAGAGCTATGTTTGACAGACAGACGAGTTGATCACGTAAAACATGTTTTCTTGACGTATTATGGAAAATAATTGAAAAACAAGGTCGAACAGTGTTTTCCATTAGCAACAGAACTTAAGAATGCTTGAAAAATCTCAAATTTCAACCAACTTCTAATACATTTCAAGTTGCTGATTTCTATTCTGCTTCTTTTTTTAACAAAGAGGCTGTTTATAATGAGTATCGTAATAGGAATGCAGTTATGCTATATCTCTTATTATGATGAGTATATATTTCTTCTTTCTTCTAAGTAGATTTCTTTTTTTTTGTTCATCAATTCCACTCAACGACATCAGAAGTTTATTTATAATTTTTTTTAATATTCTATTATTATGTAAGATATTGTTTTTTCTCTTGATAACAGTACTAAACCTTATGAACTTCAAACATTTGTGTCAACTTAGTAAGACTTACTACTTCATAGAATTGAACGTATATATTTTTTTTTCTATAGAAATGTTAAAGGCTTTCTTCAAGATTTATACTGAACGATTCTTGTTTTAATAGACTGATTATTTGTAAGGACAAAATGTATTTTCATTCGTTTGAAAGGGATTCGTCTAGTTCGCTTTTTGATGATCCACTGTAGAAATTGTCGGAACTTGAACGCTGTATTTCGCACTAGAATGTGTTCGGGTTTTCTTTGTAACTTTCGTCCGAGCTTTGTATTTGTTCTTTCGACAGAAAATGCCACATGTCCCCAGGAAAATATCGGATGACATTCCAATCCGAAGTGTTACGTACAACTTCCAACGATATCCGGAGGTTCGCTTTCCGGTTACCACGATTTTTCCGCATTTTGCTAGTTGGTTCCGGCGAAAATCTGCTTGTTTCAGGAATACAGAATAATCAATTTGATAATGTATGCTTTAATCAATGAAATTGAAAAAAAGAAAAATATTAATTTTAGTATTCATCTCTTCATTCAAAATATTACTTTTTTGCATTTGTGAAGTGTCTGAATTGGTTTGATGTTATCCTGACATGTTATTTGAGAAAAAAACAGGAAATTGTAATTAGACGAAATTGTTGTTTGCTTCAGCACGATTCTTTTAACTGTGATTACTGAGTTTTTAATGAAAAACAAGTTTATTTAGAAAAAGTATGCAAATTGAGACATTGTTCATTCAAGTAGAAAATTTACGTATTGAAAATTCATTGAATAAGAATGCAAGATATAATTTTGTTTCTGTTTACACTGAAACTCATTTTTCAATTACATCGAATGTTTGTTATTATAAAACAAAGAAATAATTATCTCTGCAAGTGGAGTGATGTTTTTTTTTGTTGTTTTTGAAAAGATGAGTTTAAAATATTTTATAGAAGAAAATATTCTTTAGCACATTCGTAAAAAGACTGAAATAATATTTGTTTTTTTTTCTTGTGATATGATAAAGAGAAATCTTCTTTACTCTTATTATATTGCTGTCAACAACAAGTTCTTATCAATGATAAGCATAAACAAAAACAATGATATCAACTATATGTACCAATTTTTTGTATATATATAAATAATTTTGTCAAATAATCAAGGGTATCATAAAAGAATAAGGAAAATATTTATTGATACTGAACTTTTGATTCTTTCGATAGACAATTCTAAAATCTTTGCATTATTGTTTTCTTTTAGTAAGTTGATATACAACAATCGGTTTTTTAATTATTTCCTATTGAAATCCCAAAAGGAATAAGCCTTAGCTCGTCGTATTTAATCACAATATAGATACGAGTGTAAAAAGAATCACAGAGTATACTATTCAATATTATTAATGCAACTACTACTCCGATATTAAATTACAAGCGCCCGTGTTCTACATGTTGTGCATATATTTCGCACATGTTTAAGCACTATAAATACTCTTTGTTTCATATTCATAAATTTTAATCAACATAGGAAGAGTTAACAAAATCACGCTTAAATAAAAGATAGAATAAGAAACATTTAAAGAAAAAACAAATCTATTTATAATAAGTGTTCTAGGATCCTACGGAAAAAGTAGTTCAAACAAGAAAATCTTCATTTGGTTTGTAAGAACTCTAGGATGCAAACATAATTAAAATAAAATTGACCAGGTATTTGTGTATATTTATAGTGTTTATTTTTAATCGTACTTTGTAATGAACGAAAGTCATGAGATATTATCGACATCCTTTTTCTATTATTTTATTGTCTATGACGGAAGGCGATAATGTCTGTCGCTTCAGCTAGCTAATAAACTCATTTGCTAACATAAACTAAGGTTGCTATGACATCATATCAAAATTATTTTCTTTTAATTGTGAAATAGATTAAGATTTATCTTGTTAAATTTATAAATTATCCAATCGAAAGTAACACTTATGTTAGACATATCAATACTTATCATAACAAAAAATATGGCCTGAATGCATTCTATTTTCAAGTATCATGTTTATTAATGTAATGAAGAAACCTTCATTAACTGATAAAATATTAATCTTTTTTGAAATTAAGTTAACAAGATATTTCTAATACGAATCATGTTTTTATATCATATCGTTTAACATTAATCAGATTGTACTTTTGTTCTCAAGAATCATAATTAAATGAATCAAGTTCGAAGAAACAGTATAGGAAGTCAGATGTTTCCTTTAATTCTTTGTATAAACATAATTATTTGCTGTAAATCAGCTTGCATTAATTCAATGCTTCAATCATGTTTCGCATAATTACGAAATACTTTTCTCTACACTGGCAGTGTTATATGATAACTGATTATGAATCATACAGGCTAATTCCTTCATCTTGTTGTTTTCTCGACTTTTATTAGTTTTGCTTCGTGATTATTGAAGAAGTAATATGTATGTAATCATTAAAAAAAGAAATCCTTAAGAAGTGGAACACTCTCCAATTACTATCTCAGTATGGCATCAGATTAAGGACAAGCTGTCCGACTTAATTATTGACTATTTGACTGAGAACAACTGACTTTTCATCTATATTTATGTCTTCAAGATTCAATAAAATAAAAAATATTACAATCTATATTACTTATTTTAACATATATTTTAAATCAATCAAAAATCAACATCATCTTTATTGAGAATGATTTCGATTGATATATAAATAACAAAAAAGCATACAATTTTTTTTTTTTTTGTTGAGTCAAAGAAAAATGTACAGAGAACTATACAAAAAAAGACAAGATCGAAACTTTAATTATAATATTTCTTATTGAAAATGATTTCTTCTATGATACTTTAATCGTTGTTCAATTTCTTTCCAAACATAACTTTTTTCGGAATTCTCATTATTTGAATTAACATCCAAAAATTGTCTTAAATATTTTTGTGGTGTTCTTACACTATTTGTTGTACAATTTTGATTATAAACTCCTCCATTTGTAATAATAAGATTTCTATTAGAAGAGTTTTTATTGTTGCCATCATTATGATTTGATGGTGTTAATAGTATTGAACGATTAAAATCATTTTGTGCACTTAAACCATCTAAACTATCATTAGTCTTTTTTCGACGTAAATGAAATAATGTAAATGCTCGTCGACGTTTCACGCGACACCGACGAAAATAATATGTTAAATATAATTTAAGTGTTAAACGAAATTTTGGATTTATTGAGTAGATATAAAAATTTGCACCATGATTTATAGTTAACATTATATTTGATATGCAAAACAATTTAATGCGTATTTTATTAAAATATATTTGTCGTTGAATACTAAATAATGGTGCTATTAATATATGTATGACCTCAAGCAAATGTGCACTACGACATATCATATAAACAGTTAATACACAAACAATCATTAATGTTATACGAAAATATGTATCTTGCTTACGATCATTACGAAATGTGGTATTAACATTTTTTTTTGTTAATTGACTTTGTGCTGAACGTAATGCACGAATCAAAAATAACCAAATTAAAAAGCATATTAACCATGGAAAAAGTAAAGATATTGTTACCATTGTTGGATAAAAGAATCGAGAAAAAAATCTCGTTCGCAATAATGGCGATCCTCCAAGGCTATAATATTTTATTGAACCATTATTAGTACAATAAACTCGTATACTTGTATAGAGAAATAAAGGTAGATTAACAAATACCGATAAGAAGAGGATGATTATTATCGCATAACGAGCTGTACGCCGATTACAATAATTTTTTGCCACTAATGGTTTCTACAATTAATATTAAATAGTTTTTTTTATTCATATAATTTGTTTATAGTATTCTGAGTCATTTTCTTTGTCGTTTCATAATCTATCTTCTGGCAATAACAAATTGTATGCTAGATAATCATTTTCTATGCTAATCACTCTATGTTCTGATCATCGACAATTTCTTATCTATATTATTAATTTGTCTGTGATTTTTTATAGTAATTCTTTCCATTATAGTCTATTGAAAAATTTCCTTGCGATAATATTATAAGAACAAGAACAAAACATAGTAACCATCTGTCTCCATTAAAGATTGTTTCTCAAATAGCCTCTTAAATATAAATTAGCGAGAAAGCAACAGTATACTCCAAAAAAAAAGCTTCAAGTGACTTCATACGACGTCAGCATGAAAGTTTTTACTGTTTCTCTCTTATAAATATGTTGTATTTATCGTGCGAACTGATTTTATGCATGCAGAGACTAATAATTTAGTAACCTAGGGCGTTGCAGTTTTGGTTTCACTTACAAGTATTCAAATGTGTTCTTTTTTTTTTTCTTGGTTCTATTATTATATCATTATTTATTTTTACAATTAATTATTCAAACATAAATAAAATCACTCAATCATATGTCATGCACAAAATAGAAGCATATATAATTTATATTTTTATGAAATACAATTGATTATGTTGAATTCTATGATTTTTCTGTAGACTCTGGGAATAAGAGAAAAAATTCGTCATGATCTGTAATAGGCATTAAAAAAATATCGATTATTAAATTCATGACATATTATAATTAATGTCTGGTTTTGATTGATAAAACAAAAATAGATTTATCCTAAGGTCTCTTATATAATCTGAATATAAATACCTTCATTATGTTAAATAGTCTAGTAAAAGAAAAAGAAAACTTTTTTTTCTTTACCTGAACAACAATTAATCGAAATGTTGTAATTAATACAATGAGCCAGTTACTAAATGTTGTAAATATATTTGCTAATCCATTAAAAACAGCTCGAGCAATCATATGTGTAGTTAAAAATGTTGATGAATTATTCATATGTGGTAAAAAATAATAAAATAATATATTGTTTAATGAAACAACTGTAGGTGGAACAAGATCAGCCCAAGCAAGTGTAACTAAAAGTGTTGTCATTGTTGATCGCATATGACGACGAGTAAGAACAAATAAATTAATTAAATTACCAGCATCTGCTAATATTGATAGTATAACACTAATCACACCCAATGTCCAAAAAGCAAAAGGTGAGCGAAAATGTATTTCGCTAAGACGACTTGGGTCTAAAGATTTTCTTTTTCTTTTATTAGCTTTCTAAGAAAAACCACTGTTTTTTTTACCTTCAGTACAATTCATTGAGATAAAATGATATGCAATGATAAGTATTAGTACAAATCAATCTAAAATGATAAACATATCAGTTTGATAGTGTTGACAGGTACAAGTAAGAGAAAACAATAGCAATACAAATGGCAGATGCGTTATTTGTTTGTTTTTGTTTTCTTTGTTTATTTTCATAGGCAGGTCAGAATCTTTCATTGAGGTGTAGCAATAGATTGTAGTATCTCAATATTATAAAGGAAAAAGGGTACTTCTTCCGATCAACGACACCGCGGCACCCACACTCTTTGATACTCCCTCCGCTCTCTTTGATGTGTGTTGTAAGTTTAACCAATACGATGAAGGTGTCGTCAATCTAAAGAAGAACCGAAAAAAGCATGTTTTACACTGTGTGTTGAAAACTAATCATTTTTTTTTTAGGCGAGTCAATTATCCGCTGGTAGCCCGCCCATATTTAATTTTACTTCTATTTAGACAAAAGAGTAAGTTGTTTAGCAAGTAAATCAATATATACTTCCTGTGTCTCTTCCTCCGGTAGAAAGATAGAAAAAAATGGCAAAAAAAGATGAATTCTTTCATTAAAAATCATGGAAGTGAAAATTTTTATTATCGATATTTGAGTAGGATGATATATGAGAATTTAAGTTAACGTTGACCTGGTCAACATGACACTTCCGTCAAGCTCTTCTTCTATCATCGAACAATATTAATATGCAATAGAAACAGTAGAAAGAAAAACAAAGCCTCTTTGAGTAATTGAAAAAGCTTCTTTAGAATATATCTCGCTTCGAAAAATCAAGTTCTCTTTTGAAATATTTACAGAATATTAATAAAGACAATGCATGTTTTTTTTTGTTATTTGAGTAATTACAAATAAGAAATATAACGAAATAGATTCCTAATTGTTATTCTATATTATAGCTAAAGGAAATCATTTTAAACACATATAAAAGCATTAGTATTTCTTTCCTTTGAATGCTTATATAAAATATTTCCTAGTACTAATATATAACTGTCATATTAATAAACAAAGTATATATTACATACTAAAAAGATTGTCAGTACATTATTTTATTCTTCTTCATATGCTGACGTTCGAAGAGCAAAGTATGAGTTTTTTTCCTTTTTCTTTTTGAAGCAGAGAAAGACGCTATAGAGAGAAAGCACTAAAAAAATTTTTTTTTTTAGTTTCCAAAGAAATGATGAAAGTGGTAATTACTATTCTTTTCTAGCGATAGTAATATTTATAAAATCTAGAGAGACTAAAAAAGAATTATGTAATGAATCATACCGAACTAATTTGATACACATTGAGCTTTTGTGTGGACTTTTTTTCATGATTATAAGAGTTCAATACTTGGACAAAAGACAGACATGGTGATTAGGTTTTAGCTAACTAAGAAAAACTATATATACATGCAAACATGGCATTAGCGCTTATAGATAAAAATTAATTTGGACGGAATGTCTTGTGGTAGTAATTCTTTAATGATCATAGACGCACAAAAAAAAAAGACGTCATATTTATATTTTTAGACATTTTTTTTGACTATCACTTCTCAAGTCTCCATTTTTTTTTGGGATATACTCATTTATTACTAAAGACAGAACATCTAAGAAAACAGCAGACAAAGGGAACATCACTCTCGCATCTTTTTTTCTGCATGCACCCTCCTCGAACAAGATATAAAATTTCCCCTACTCATTTACACTTAGCGTCAAGATATAGGGAGACACAAAAGAATACAGAACATCTAATTTTTTTTTCTAAACATCATATCTGTTTATTATTTTGGACGTAAGCAACTGCAAGAAAGAAAAAATACATGATGAATACAAAGAGAAAGAAAAACCAGAACTACCTTATTGTTTAATAATACAAAAAATAATTGTTTCCTGTGTTACTTGGTTCTTTCAGGGCATTATAACACGTTGACATAAAAGAAAAAATACAAAGTATTTGAATGAAATAAATAATATTGATTTCTCATATTTTCTATAGTTTTGAATACAAATAAGAAAAAAAAGATCGTTTGATTTCCGTTGAAGAACTTATTATAGGTCAAAATGACTAAAAAAAGATACTTATATACGAATATCAACTGTTGATTTCCGATAATGAAAATTTCATATAGTATCTATAATTACCATATATTAGACAATAATATTACGGATAGAAGAAAGAAAAAAGAAAAATGGAGCGAACAATAGTAATCTTCTTGCCGATTTTGAGTGCTAGAATGGATCGAAGTGATTCAATGATCAACACATTTTATATTTTTTATTCAATTACACATCCGAACAGCGAAAAGGAAAAACCTATTAGCTGGTTGATAATGCTAGACACGACGAATTCGTCTTATGTGCGTATGCGTGATCTATGTCTCTGTAGGATTACATTCAAATGGTACATAAAAAATTGACAAGCGAAATATAATACATGGAAAACAAAAAAAAAAAAAAAAAAAAAAACCTTACTCAGATTTATTTAAAAAACATGTAATATATGTCATGCCCTAATCTAAATCTTCTTTCTTGTTGGTATAATATAATTCACATAAAATATGCAGACATAATACATGCTTAATGAACTGGAAAATTCATTTTCTGAATATAAAACAAATACTAGCTGTAACAATATGATACATAAGATAAAACAAAAAATAGTATTAGCACATATGACATGTCCTTAAGCATTTATGTGAAGTGCATTCGAAAGTACTTTTTGTTTGGGACAAATTCATTTTATCTATGACTAATTCAATAATTTTTATGTGACTAATTTAATAAAAGCATATGGTTCAATCGAGTTTACACTTTGATGTTATTCTTTGCTGATATTTCTTACTTACCTTGTCAAATTGTAAGGAAAAATACATTACTCTTTCTTGATTCCTGCCGTCATAGACAATTAAGATAGAAAATGGAATGTCATATGAAATATCCTGTTTTATTTGTATATATTTATCGCTTTATGCACATCAAATCTCAGTTATTTCATATGTATTAAATAATTCGCCTCGAGCACTGTACGGCTGAAGCTATAGCATGCAGGTTTGTTTTTGGTGTTAATCTCTATATTATACGACGACACTCATCTTTCCCTTCTTTAATGAAATAGATATAAAAATGCGTATGCACGGATGCAAGCTAGGCACATATGATTCTGAGAGATTAATAGGAAAGAAAAAAAAAGGGGAAAACACAAAAGAATCATAGTAAAGCCTCAATAAGTCAATCAGTGTTGGAATATGTTAGTGATATTAAGGCAACAGACAGTGTTTTTCTATTCTAATAGAATTCTTACGCCTCATGCATAAACAGCAGATTGCGTCTGAATAGTTACAATATAATAGATTATCAAATGGACAAAAAAAAAAGACAAAGATTGCTAATGAGACTTTCAATTAAATTAAGGAAAATTATTTTAAATTTAATTCTATTAAAATTAGCTGAAAAAGAACTTCGTTTTTTTTTGTTATTTTTTAATATGCGAAATAAAGCTTCTATTAATACAAATAAAAATTATTTTGTTTTTCTTTTTCGTTTGATTAAATATTTATAAATATCGGTTATTAACAGTATTAGATAGCGAAGCAAAACTTTCTCGTCGTTCTCTAGCCGTTGTTAATTTTAATAATGATGAGTCTTTTCGATGTATAATTGGTGTTGTTAAATAATCAAATGTTTGTTGGACTTTGATATCATGATTATCATCTGTTGATTTTAATATATCAATATCAGTTATACGTACATGACGAGATATTGGAGTTGTTAATGGTGGAAAATAAATTCTAACAGGTAGTTCACGTTGTGATCGATTATCCGAATCATCAATAGTTTCTACTTGTTTTGAAGTATGATTATTTTGTTGTAAAGTTTGAGAATGATGTTTAAATAATCTTTGATGAAGACGAACTAAACGTGGTGAACTAAATAATGTTGGTGTAAAACATGATGTTTCTTCTTTAGATTCTATAATTGGTTTTCGTATTGTTTTATATGAATGTGAATGTCGATGACGTTGAAGCCATGTATTAAATTGATTGATACATATACTTTTACTACGTTGAAAAGTTTCTTTAAAATGAAAATGTGAACGTTTTGAATCTTTATTAAAATTATCTGATGATAATTTATTATTTGAATTAATTTCATTTGTTATTGTTGTTGAAATAAGTTCTATATTTGATGTTGGTTCTATTTGTGATGGTATAATTGTTTGTAATGGCATTACTGGATCAGGCAGAAAATATTGAGGAAATTCTGCATATGATATAAGAGATAATTTACGTAAAGGACCACGTGTAAAAATAAGTTTAACACGAGACTTATTTTTTCGAATATTATTTGTAATTAATTTTTGATTTGTTCTAAGAAAAAATAGTATAAATTAGTTTTTTATTTTTATTTTCATATAATTTCAATTACTATGTGATTAGAATTTTTTAAGTAGTTTAGGAAAAATAAAAATATCAAAATTTATTTTTTTTTTTTTTTTTAATAAATTTCAATTTCATTCATAATTATTCTATTAAAGTTGATAAGTCTGTATTGGCTAAAAAAATAACAAAAATCCTGTTTGTTTTCGAAATATTTTTGTCCTGATAATAAAATCAGTTTCAAGCAACATTTAGATCAAGCTGTCGACGATTGATAATATGCTGTCAACAATTGATAATGCTATGGATCATTATTTTCAATCAATATCAAAGGATATCAAGAGAAACAATGTTTTACTTTTGTCAACAAAGGAGAGTGTTGATGAATACATATTCTTTACTGTCAACTATTTTTGATTATATGTTTTTTTTTTCTACGAAGTATATTTGTAAGTCATGCTGGCCGTCCTAATTGAATCTAGCTTCATTTTTGTTTGACATTGATATGATTAACTTTTCATTTAATTAAAACATTTGAATAAATAGTTTTACACACTTGACAGCTGTCATAAAAACAAATTTTCTCAATATAAAACAAATCAATTCTATTAGATTCTTTCTTAGATTTTAAGATCAACTAACTTTTAATAATTAAAAATAATTTTTTTTTTTTTTACTCACTTTGAGGAATTTAATAATTGTAAATCTTTCATTGAATCTTGTTCAAATTTGATTCGATCTTTTTTAAAATGTTCAAGTTGATCGAAGAAATCTTTATTAAATAATATGGCACGTTCAGTTGTTTTATTTGATGTACCATCTAATACATCAGAATAAGCAGCACTTTGTACAGCTAATACCCATGAAGCAGGCATTGATATTAATGATTGTAATGAACGACAACGTTGAGGTAAATATGAATGTTTATATTCATCATAGTTTTGAAATTTTATTTTTGCTTGTTGTTTAATTGTATTATAATTTGTACAAAAAATATTTGTTTTTAATGTTTTTAAATTTGTTTCAAGTTCTTTTAATAAAATCAGTTTTTTCTGAAGATAATCATTATAATGACGAAGATAAATTTCTTCTAACATAATTTCACGCCATTGATGTACAATAAGTGATCGTTGATTAGGTGAAAGTATTGGACTTAATGTTATTGGATGTGTTTGAATTTCAAGATTTAATTCATCAATTATCGATGAACAATTTTCACTAGTTGATGGTAAATTTGTTGGATCTATTGATATTTCATTAGTTATTGGTGCTAATGAAGCTTTTCGAGAGCTAGCTATTAAATCAATTTTAGGTGTTATTGATTGTCGACGGTAGTTCACTACAAAAAAAAAATACTTTGTTTAATACAAAGAAAAACACTAAAAGCAAGAAAAAATATTAATTTCTAACCAAGAAAATGACTTTTTTGCATTGATTCCCATTCACGCATTTTTTGTTGATAAGATTTTGTTAAAGCTGGTGCTAATTGTGCTGTTAACAAAGCACGATTATATCCTGAACCTTTTAAAATAATTTCATGGAAAGAAAAAATAAAATTAAAATTTCTAGTAGTCTTTAATTTAATTAAATAAATTACCAATATCATCAAATACTGATGCATGTGAAGTATGAAAAAGACGTATTGATGATGATGATGAATGTTGATCACTGAATTGTCTTTTAACAGTATCAAGTTTAGAACGAAGTTTGCGTCGATAACGTGCTGCGATTTCAGCAAAGAAAAATTAAAAGAGAATTATCCAACGATCATCAAAGTTCATTCAGGAAGACGAAAAAAAAAAGAAGAGCATCTAATCAATTGATTTAATATCAAAACTTTCTCGCTCGTTCTCCCTTTCTCGTTTTGTTTTTGTTATATATTGAGAGAATTTTAATAGCTTTTCATCTTTCAGCTAAACACTTGTGAATGATATATGAGAATAATTAAAAGAATTTGTTTTGTTTTTATTTAGATAATAATTATTGGAGATCTGTTTAGTTATATATGAAGAAATTATCAATAGATTTGTTATTTTTTTTTCTCATATCTATATACATAAAATAATGAGATAATGTATCATTTTACTAATTTAGAAAGATTTGCAAATATGATTCTCTAATTTCTATAGAATATTCCATATTCTCGATCGTTTTCTTTTTCATCAATTAATATTTCAGTGATAAATAAATCACCACATGTTGATCATCTAATTATTACAATATTCTCTCCATTGCTAATATCAACAATTTAAATATTTAAACTAACTCTGATTTTATTATTCTAGAAATATAAAATATCTAAACAAATAAAAGACTTGAAAGTATTCTCATATATTATATATATTTATTTTGTGCAAAAGAAAAGTAACAAATGAAATGATTTGAAAGAAAATTAAATATATAATTGCATGTTACTTTCAGTGTACTTTGACTGTAAACATTTACAGATAAATAAGATGCACCTCTATATAAAGTTGTCATCGCCGAGTGGCAATGTTGATTGACATACATCCGCACTGTACTGTACTCAAACCTCGGTGCCATCTGACATAGAATAACCCTAGATAAGTCACCAATGGCTGTTTATCTCGTATCAACCGTCCGATAGCCTGTTGAATACGTTGTGGCATACATCTGCACTTGTGGTTAGTTATTGTATATGAGGAATTCAAGAATTCTGTGTCAGATTGGCCTTCTGTCCAGAGTTACAGCTAATATTAGTTGTACGGATCGAGCTATTGAATCTGCCACAAGGCAGCTGAAAGAGATAGGTATTCTTCCTTCCTCTATTATTAAACAGAATAAAATATAATATGAAGATCAAAGCATTTTAAATAACATCACACTGTGAACTTAAAATATATCCTACTGTAAACGGAAGACAATCTCATAGATTTTCTCTCGACAATTTATTAAAATATTTATAATTTTAGAACAAGATAATACGATTTCTCTTTCAATATAAAAAGAGTTATACATTGATCTTAAACTTAGTAAAAAGTGTTCTACTTTTTATTTAAAAAAGATAAATCTAAAGAGAAACACTCATGTCTCACTCATAGACTAAGATTTACGAATCTAAACTTGTGTTTTGTGGATTTTTGTTTTTCTAAATGTTCAATACAAAATAAAATAACGACAATTTCACCTGAAATAATTGGCTTCATATGAATAAATAAAAGTTCTATTGATGAAAATGAAACTCTAATTTGTTTTTTTTTTAATGCATAGGATTTTTCCAAAAATTCATCTCCTGCTTTTTTCCCAAGTCATTCAATCAAAATAATTTATCTTATTATATACCGATTTTTGATGGTTTACGTGTTAATAAAGTTTCATCATCCATATTTGAAGTATTACAAGCTAAGTTTGGTGATGATGTTTCTTGATGTTCAAGAATTGATGAGTTTGTTATGTCACTTCCATAAAATCTTCTTTTATGATATGATCTAATAAATTGAATCGATTCATCTTCTTGATCAGTATCATCACCGATAATCATTTGTCGATTATCCCTTGTTGTTGTTACGGTTTTCTTCTTCTTCGGTGAAAGTTTATGTTCTTGTAAATGATCATCATCACTTTCTAAAGGTATATTTATTGTCGGTATTTGTCGGTCAATAGTTGCTACTGGAGAACTTGAAGGTGAACATTGCTTTCGTCGAAGAGAAAATTTAAAAGCATGTCGAACTTTATTCCAATTATTTCTATTTGCTATAAATGATAAACCTTAAGAAAAGTTTAACAAAAAAAAAAACTTTTTAATCAAATAAATATTTTCATGAATTTACCGATATTACTATCGGTCAGGTCAGATTGATCATGATCAATATGTGATATTGATGAAGAATCGTCTTGATTAATAAAAAAATTTCTACCTATTAAAAAAGATAAAAGATCTGAGAATATTTACAATATAATGTATTGTTTATACATCTCTGCACAGATAATTAATAAAAGCTTGAATATTTTTATCAAAAATTGTATCGTTGGATTTTCTATCAAAAATGTATCAAAACGAATTTTTTTTTATTTGTTCTAATCTTTCTTTTACAAAACCAGAAAAGAAATGATGTATGAAAGATTGATGTTTTTCATAATATTGGAGGTCGAGAAAAAATATTTTTTTTTTTTTATAATATATGTATTTTGCATTTATCTCTACATAGATAGATCATTAAAAAAATGAGTTCTTCGAAATAGTTGACGTAAAAGATTTTCTTCATTTATAATAATTAATTTCAAGAGATCTCAAAGGAAAACAATATGAGATGCTTTAATTTCTTGTTATATCCAATGTTTTATCAAATGTAGGAGGGGACTGGGTGGTGATGCTTTAAAGATCGAGTTCGTTCTTTGCAAGTTTGTGATTATTGTAGTACGTATTATGTGTCTATATTCATGAAAATAAATGTTCACCCTCCAAAAATTTTAAATTACACATCCGAAAGAGAAAATCTAGTTGAAGCATTGGCTCTAAGAACGGTACAAACAGAGGCGTAACACAATACTGAAGACAGGGAGCACGGAGTAGATGAGTCCTAGAAAAAAAGGAGTACTGTGTGGATAATTTCCAAAAGCGACGGGAAGCATTACGCTCCACATTCCTTCTAGAAATTATGGGTGTGGATGTAAACGCCTTAGAGAAGAGAATTTTACTATCGAAGCGAAGATATACTAAAGAATAAAAAATCCATTCTTGTGAAAAGCCCTAACATATCATACATCTTTCCTTTTAACTCACATGAAATTCATAAGTATAAGACAAGAAAATTTTTTTACTGCATTCAGAAGAACTTTATGATACATTTTTTATTAACAAAACTTCAAGTTCTTATGATTTGCCTACGTAGAGATAAATGCGAAATACTTATTATAGCAAATATCTTTTTTTCTTTACCACCTCCGATATAATGAGAATAATTAATCTTTCATATATCGTTTTCCTTTGTTTTTTCGATTTTTGTAAAAATTCGTGAGAATAGTTCAAAAGAATCTTTTTATACATTAATTGAAGAACATTTAACGGTACATCTTTTGAAAAAGAACTCAAAATTTTATTATTTATCTTTGTGGCAATTTACACATAATAAACTATATAGTAAACATTCTCGAACACTCGATCTGTCAAAATTGACAAATGTCAAGATTAAATTGCCAAATATGATTAATCTTCTTTTGTTAAACTAAGTTTTTTTGTTTTTGTCATACGAAAAAATTTCATACATTATGACGACAAAACAAAAACAAAAGAACTTTACCTTTTTGTTCTCGGATTGATAACGAAGATTTATACTTTAATGAATTTGTTGGTGATAATGTATCAAATTTTTCTTCATCATGAATAGATGTTGAAGACATAATTGATTCATTTTTTTCTCGTTTATTTTCATTATTATCATGTAATATAAAACGTTGTTGAAATTGTTCAACATGATTAACTAATTCAAGATGTGCACGTAAACGATTATTTTCAGATTTTAATTGATGAATTTGTTCAATAAGACGACATAAATTATTAAGTACACATAAACCTGTTGTTGCATAACTATTATTAGGTGATATTAATGGTGAAGATGATGATGATGATGATGTAGTTTTCATTCTTCCAAGACCCATTTCGTTAGCAAATTCAAGAAATTCATTTGGTGTTGTCATTATCATACTATAAAAAAGAATAAGTCATAAATTTGCATAATTATGAGGAATTGTTTCTATCATCAACTTTATCATTTCGCTTCTTCTCGTCTTCGCTTTCTAAAAGAATAATAGAAAACACTTCTGACGATGGTTATGTAGACACATCATTTTTTTTATCTCTAAACATGGATATGTTCTTCATCATCTTTAGCTATTCGTGTCTCCAACTGAGAATGATATCGCACGTGCTGATGACGACTCAACTGATGATGTTTGATCGTTCTTTTCCAATTGGTTGTGCTTATAGATACTTTATGCTTAAAGACACACAACTAACTATATTTGTTTTTGCTTTTTTTTTTTTCTATGAATACAGTTTGCATATAAAGAACATATAGCCTTTTAATAAGGTCTCTCCAGTTTCGTCATTTACGTTATTAGGCAATTAATAAAAAGGAAACAAGATATACTGAGTGGTGGCTAATGTCAACGGTAAGATGAAAGCTTGTTGATAGATATATGTTTATGTTTGTATGAAAAACGGAGAGAAATAACAATTGTATATATCTTTCCGAAGTTCAGATATACTATCTTACTGCGAATAATCAGTGACCAACTACTGAGATATGTATAGAAGTTCTAATTTTAACGAGAAAAATAAACAAACGTTCTTCGAATGGTTCCAGGTGCAAAAACATTGTCTCTCTATTACTCAGTTTTACGAGCACGTGTGTGTTATGACAATAAAGATTATTGATTTCTTCTTATGTGCTTGCTCTTTTATTACGATTATAATATTGTTTTTCCTGTAATATAATACATAATATGTTAATTGGAGTAGAAAAATGACATTTGTTACAAATTTGTTTGAAAAGATTAACTTACTTTATTTAATAATGACGACGATTGATGATAACAAAAAAAAAAAAAGATTTAATATTGCTTCCTTTTTTTTTAAATAAAGCAACAAACGTGTTTAATCACGCGATATAAATTTGAAGAAACAAAAAATGAATTTCTTGTATAATGGCGACAAAGAAGAAGAAGAAGTAGAAGTAGAAGTAAGACGAGTACTCGAGTGGTAGTCGATTACTTGTGCTTGAAATGCGCGATATATTTGATCAACAAACCAAACTGTAATTGACTCGTCAGAAAAACAATAATATTGACGATAATAAAGACAAGTGTGCATAAGTAATTACTCAGCGTTTCGATACCCGTAACAATCAACAATAAAGAATTCTTGGCTGACAAATAAGTCAACTGCAAAACTGTCCCTTGAGTTCTACTAGATTATTTTCTATTGTTTTTCTTTCTTTCCCTTATGTATTTTTTCAATAAGTAGCCATCTATTATTTCCTTTTCTCTTTCACTCGGTGTATTAATTTGTATTTTATAAGAAAAAAGAACAAAAAAGAACTACTTTGTTTTCTAATATTCCTGCATTTTTACCTTAAGTCGTTTTCTTTTTCTTTGTATTTATACAATCCTAATAACTTAGAAGATCGTTACTTTCCGTTAGCAAAATATGTTGACCGACATTATTCGAAATAATCAATTAGATTATTATGATATGTATTTATTCAGCTTAAGAAAAGCATTAGTTCTATGCAAAAATAGACAAAACAAATATCACAATATAAATAATTCGTTTATGTCAGGCATGTTCAAATAGAAACTTACCATAAAAGGCAAAAGAAAATTTAAAAAAAAGTAATACTCAATGCTATAGCTTTTTTGCATTGATAGAAAAATTTATTGGCTCTTATAGAATACGAATAACCTTGTCATCATGTCTATCAATGTCTTATGACAATGTCGAAACCATGTCGTTACATTTCGGAAGAGCTTAATCATAATCTATCTATAATACTTCATACTTCTTAAAGACCTAAATTAAAAAGTAATTTGATTTACATAAACAAATGTTTTTATTCATCTATATATAGCGAACGATCGAAAAGCTGTTAGACAAGATGTTTGTTTACTTTTGAATTGCTAGAAAGTATTTTCGACAAGTCAAAAGCTATGAGTTAGAATGCTCTTTTCGATTAAGACCCTTAGAAATTTTGTCTCAGTTTTTGTTTGATAGCGAAAAAGTTCAGATCTTTATTTATATATCTGTTTGTAGATCAGAAGCTACTCTAAAATAAAATGCACTATTGGAAGTTTTTCTTTTTTCTTTCTACAAGGCACCTGAATTTTCGTTTTTTCTAAATACTCACTTTTTGAAAATTCAACAACCGTTTTACTTTGAAAGGAACACTTGAAACAATGTTTGTAGTCTTACTTGAGTAACAGCTACAGCTTAGTTCAATATTACATTTTGTAGAGAAATGTTCGCTCTAGAAAACGGTCGGGTCCAATAATTTTTAGCATGTTTGAGAAGAGACTTCTACGTAGAGCTTATTGAGGTCAACATTTTCGGACCCTAACCTGGAATCAGCAGAACCATACTTCGATACTTTTAATGAAATTTTCTAATCGGAATAGGATAGATGTCCCAAAGATACAAGATATATTTCTCCATATTTTTGTATTCGGTAACTAGTTCATCCTACACATTTTTCAGATAAGTCTTTTGAGACACACGTAGGATAGAGCCCATACGGTCCAAAGTACTGAAATACTTTCAAGCAAAGCAAAATGAGTAAACATTGTCAACCTAAAACGTCGACCCACAAGTTCCGTTCAAACAAATTTTTTGAACTTTTCAAAGATTATTTTTTCTACTCTCGAACATATACTGAACCAACATTTCTAAGGGCATATTCGAAAAGAGCATTCTAACTCATAGCTTTTTACTCGTCTGAAATACTCCTTAGCAATTCAAAAGTGAACAAACATCTTGTGTTCAAACTTGTCAAACAATCATTATGTTGCCGTTAAATAAATAATAGTGAATAATGTATAGTCTATATTTTTTTATTAGTTAATGTTTTAAACAAGCTTGTTATTTAAAAACTTCAAACAATCAATCACTGCAGCAAAAAGATGCATGAAATGATAGTAAAAAAAAGTTACAAAAAAACAAAGAACATCGTGTTTGATATCAATTATGGCCGCAATGTTTTTATTTATTTAAATTTCTCCTTCAGCAAATAATGACATAACTTGTGGAGCAGCTGAGTCAAAACCGACAACATCAAGCATGCCTTTATCATTCGGATCAGCAATAGTAAAACCATTTGATTGCATTCCAACAACAATTAATTTTGCATTTGGACAGTTCATTTCTTGACGATATTTCTTTAAGGCTTCTGTTGGATGGATATTACCAAACCATGTTTCACTATCAGTATAAACCACAAATACATCGATTTTTTCTAAAAAAAACGAAACAAAACATCAATATAAATTTAAAAAACAATATCAAATAATATAATATACCTTTATTATCAATAGCCCAAAGCATTGGTAATGCACAATCCGTACGACCGAATGAAATGTCACGTGTAGTTTTCATGACATCTTCAAGTTTAGATGCTTTTGAAAAATCAACTGGAATAAGTTTATCAGAAAAAGCAACTACCTAAAAAGAAATATTTTATATAAAATATTTACTTTTATCTATATAAATTAACTTACTTTTGTATATGGTTCTGTACGAACTGTAACCATACACATAGCACATGAACCAACAGCAGGTGTAACGGATGGTGAACCATTAATTGTACCCCCTGACATACTACCACTAACATCAAGTCCAAGTAAATAACGTTGATTAGTAGGTTTAACAAATTTAAATGAAAGATAAAAAGCTTCTTCCAAGGCATTTTTTATTTGTTCACTAACTTGCCATTGTAATTTTCCTTTGAAACCTTTACCTTGTTTATATGTTTCTAATGCTACAAGAATATTAAATGGATGAATACGTGCACGTTGTAATTGTTCACGATTTTTTAATCGTTCAACAACACGATTTTCTGCTTCACTATTTTCAGCTAATAGATTAATTTCAGACATTTTACCTAAAATAATAATAATAGTAATAATAAGATCGATTAATAAGAAAAATTTTAAATGATTTTACTAACCTAAATTTCGAATCATAGCCGTTAAGGGCATTTTTTCTAATAAAACAGACCAAATAGATTTTGAATTAAGCATATTTGTTGGCATATGTTCTCGAACAAGATGATGTTGTCTAATAGCTGCAACAAGTTCATCTTCATTAGTTGATGTTTTAACTTTTTCAACAGTTTGCAAGAAATCTTTTAATTGTTCAATAGTTACAAGTTTTTTATTATTTGTTTCATCATCTTCATCATTTTCATTATTTATTTTTTTTTCTGGCTGTTGTTGTTGATCCTTATCAGTTTTATCTTCAGTAGTATGTTCATTATTTGTTGATTCTTTTGGTTTATTTAAATTTTCAGTAGCTTTTCCCAATCCATGAGTGATATAATCAAATAAAAAACACAGTAAAGGATCTTTTGTACTTGGATGTGACAAACGAAGTATATCACGATGAGAATAACCTTCACGATTTTGATATTTGGTTATAGCCATAGCTAATTTACTTGGATTTTGTCCTGTATACCAGGTTGATACAGCTCGACGTTGTGCACGACCCCAATTTTGACCAAGTGCATGAGCATACTTAATAAACCTAAATAATCAATAAAAAACAAAATAGAAATTATTAATAAAAATAATAATTATATTTTACATGAATAAATGTGTTGGAATACGACAAATTTCAGATAATGAACCATAAGCAGCACGTTTCGTTGATAAATCAGTTGATTTTGCACAAAGTGCTAATGCAAACATAATAGGATTTTGTTTTGATGTACGTCCTTCAATAGAATATGTTTTAATTGTGTCAACGACTTCTACACCACGACCATCTTCTATTAATTTTAATATTGCTTTGGCATTTTCAATACCAAGTTCTTTTTCACCTTGATAATATGTGCCACCTTCACAACCCAAACAAAGAAAACGTTTAAGACGTTGCATATCATCTACAGCCCAACTAAAACCTCCTGAAAAATAAAAGTATTAGAAATTAAAACACCAACAAAACAATAAAGATAAAGATTTTCATACCTGCATTATTTTGTACTTGATCATTACTTAATGGTTTCGATTGTGGTATATTTTCAGTACTCATGATAAGAATTAATTAATAAAGAGAAATAAAATTAATCTGAAAAATAAAAAAGATATAAATTATTAAAGGTATGAAAATTTTATTTTTTCGTTATGCAAAATTAAAAAAAATTCTCCAGAAAAACTTTCTCTCGTATCCAATTAAGTGTAAACTTAAATATTTCCTCTCTTTCAGGTTCACTATGTAATTCGTGATAACAGTTATCCCAACTTTTAAAATCAATATTTCTTCCCCTTGTAGAAAAGTTAAAACTCGCTTTATGACTTGTTATTAAATCAGCGTGACCATGCTGAATTAAAACTGGTATATGAAATATACAACTTGCTCGATCCAGTTTTGCTGCCATGCCACCTACATTACGAGCAAGTGATAATGTTGCTGTTCGACGTATAGTATGATCGTTATAATACGAATCAACAATATCTTCATCACGCGTAATTTTATGTGGATCAAAGTGAAGTGGAACATTCGTAGAAGGACGAATTCGACAAGCTGCTAACATTAATGAGTAAATAGGACGTGGAGGTTGAAGTGGTCGTGCAAGACGAATCCAAGGACTTGAAGCTATTAATGCTTGATATGGACATTGATCTTTTTTATTTGGATATCGATCAAGCGTATAAGATAATACTAAATTTCCACCCATAGAATGTCCATAAAGCACAGCTGGACAGTATGGATATATTCGTTTTGCTTCATTTATTAATAAATCCAAATCCTCAAAGATTGCTTCAACACTTGGAATAAATCCATGCTGTCCAGCACTTTGACCATGACCACGAAGATCCATTGCAATAATTGCAAAATTATTTTTATTATAAAATTCAATTAAATATTCATACCGACCACTATGTTCAGCAATACCATGTATAAGAATTAATAAAGCTTTTGGTGAGTTGGCATTTTTAGCCATCCAATGATAACAAGCAAGTGAAAGGCCATCACGAGAAACTATTGAAAAGGCTTTCATATTGTCAGTAGTAATTGGTCGTTAAATAAATGCGCACATAAACACATTACCTAATATTGCTCTATTGTCACCTTTATATATGTTTTGCAGACCCATTTGGTTGATTAAACACTACTACTTAATATTTTCTTACCATTTTGAAAAAGCAAAAGTATAAAAAAAAAATAGTGCATGGACGCTACAGTTAAAGGACAAAGAACACCTATTTCTTTTCTTTTTTACAAAATAAACCAGTCGTAAACTACTCAACCGTATCATCTATTTCGATCAAAACTATGTGGTAATAGTTCTCTAACTGACAAAGCGTTAACTATTTGAATGTTATCGAATGTGCTCTACTGTATATTTATATATTACGAAAAAAGAAAAAAAGTATTGCACAAACATGATTCAACATGTTTTTTTCCCTAACGCAAAAGAAAGAAAAAATAAACAGGTTGCAACATTTTCATCGTCTTCAACGAAAGAAACGAAAAATTTCTATTTTTTTTAGTACCTAGACTGCAATAAGATAATAAAGATAAAAGATAATAATGATTACATGGTAAAAAAAAACCATATGGATAAATAATCCACAATTGCTTGAAGTAAAAAAACTAAAGAAAGAAAAACAAAGATAGAAAAAGAAAAATATTCATTGGATGAATATATGTTCTTGCTCCATCTCTCTTTAACGATAATGAAAGATGGTGCAATTCTGTAGATAAATACTTGTTATAGAATATTATTCTAATAATAATTACATATTTATGATACAATTTTTAATGGAAAGATTTTTTTTACTAAGACTATGTGTGCAATTTGTTTTTATTTTTATGAAATTACAGAGTAAATATTACCATTATGTGTAATATTGTTTTGTATAAATCAGAGTCATGTTCTTACAAAATTTTTGTAATAAACATGTCATTCTCGGCCCTGTGTAATTTCAGAAGAAGAAAGTATTTTTGCCAATTACTTTGATGTATAATTGACTTCATAGTTTGGAAACTGAAGAAACGGGAAAATTTCTGTTCATGCACTAAAATATATTTCTGAATTCAGCAGTTAGTAATCATAAACGAAAAACTTGTCAATAATAAAATCAAATTGACGAGAGAATTTTTTCAACTGATTAGTTGTTTTTAAGTGTGGAGTTTTTGCGTATATTTCTCAAGAAGTTCGATTATAAGTTATTTTTGTTGAACTTTTAGTCTATAACATAGTTTGTATCAACAATTCTGAATGATTGCGTTTCTAACTGAAGCTTTGTCTAATTGTCAGTGAAATATTCAGAAAGCTTCGCTCAGAAAAAAAATTTTTTTTTCACAACATGTTGAATTTCTAAAACTGACTCCTATCATATGAAAGATATTTGAATCTGACATTTTTTTGAAACTTGATATCTTCTGAAGAATTCTTGTTACAACTAGGTCTTTGTGTAAGCAAAATTTCAGTGACATGGTTATAATCCTGAAAGAAAAGACTACGAGAATGTATAGTTTTAAAGTTGTTTATATTACATCCAAGCCTGCCTCGTATATAGATTCCGAGCTCAAACGTGATTAATTATTTGAAATGATATCTTCGTGTAAGATAAAAAGTGGAATCCTAAGTATTTCGAATGATAATATATCTTTCATTCTATCAATCGATTCTAACTTGAAGATTGATATAAGAGTTGCTTATAATTCCAGAACTCCATTTTTAATAGTTTTAAATTATGTAATTGCAGAGTATATTGCAAATATGACGTACGAATATTCTAAATGCTTCGTTAATTTAAAACTTAAATAATACGAAATATTATCTTAAAATGTAGATTTTAAAATCTCTCGGAAAAATTTATTACAGCATATTTCAGATCCAGATATACTATTCCTTTCGATTTTATATGACGATATCGGATGAAATTATTGAGGCAAAATTTTTGTCATTTTTTTTATTCTAATTATTTCGAATATTTAAAATTGATTGGAAAATTCTTGACATAAATTCAATTGTCAAACAATAACTTTCATGTATAAAGAAAAGATTTACCAAGACATTTTCAGTTTCTCTCTTGATAAGGTGGCCATTCTCTAGTTCGTATCAGAAACAAAATCCGATCTAATTCACATTGTCTCAAAGTACCCATTGATCCAAAAAGAATGATACTCTAACAAAATGCGAGTTTATCTTTTTATCAAAAGTTTCACTCATGAAATACTATCCTTTATTTGTCAAATAAAGCTAGCTATACTTTTTAACACACCTGGTAACTATCACTTTATCAAAAGATTATTTCACTTGATAGATTGCAGAAGTTCGTTATAAATTACATGTATAAAAACTTGATTCATATGATAATAAAATTCTTCATTCTACTTTTTTCATATTGTTCAAAACTAGATTAAATAAGAAATCAATATTAGAGGTACAACAAAGTCTAATATGAACTCAAAGATTTCTATTTTTTTAACAGATCAACAACTGAATCAATACGTCATAAATTAATAATTTTTATTCGGTTTATAAATACAAAAATAAATATTATATGAAAACGGAAATAAGATGACTATAAAGGTTCGTCTCCATGCACTATCTTTCCCAGTTTATTAATATTTTACTGAGTTTTTTTAATTTCTAACAAGGTATTGATGAAAAAATCGAAGGACAGAACTTCAATTTGAAAGTTTCAGCTCAGAAGGATGTTTTCTTAGGAAACTAGATATCTCAAAAAACAATCATGTATCACAAGGAAAGGTAAGAAAATTGAATGTTTTCAAGATTTGATATTTTAAGAACAACACATTCTGTTCGGCTGAAATTTTCAGCTTAAAATTCTCTCGTAAAAGTGTCTTATGTCAATAGAGCCACTTTTCGGTTCGAAAGAACTTATGTTTCTAGTGATATGAAATCTTTTTTAATCATCTACGATTTCTCTTTATCTTATTCTAATTATACTGAAAATTGTATTCGTTCTTTTAAATTCTGACTATTTTCTGCAGATTTATCGAATTCTTAACTTCATAAGCTATTTCTTGAGGTTGAATGTTGCAGCAGTTATTTTTAATAGAAAAAACAACCGACTGAGATTTTTAGAAATCCTCAAAACATCTGTAAGACCTTTCGTTTAGCTACCTTTTAAAAGATATCAATTGTATCTAATGAAACGAATCATAATAAAAAAAAACAATTACAGTCTTATCCAAATATGTTAGCAACTGCTCTGTAATAGCTATTTGTTCGAGCGTAAATCTAATCTTTTTCTGTATACAATTCCATAATAGAAGTTTCAATCGGATTGGTTTTTACACTCTAGTGAACAAACATACCCGGTCATGTCTATTAACAAGATCATCAATCAAATCATACCAATTACTGAAATACTGACACTTTGTTTATAAAAAAAAAAAAACTTCATTGACTTGATGCGTTAGATAGAAAACCAAGTCTTATATAATATTTATCAGTTATTTATATAAGTAATTCTTTCCATTGATTATTTACTAATAATATTGAATTTTTATCTTTCGAAGAATTATCTAATGAACGCTTTATATCATCAATAACATTTTTGAAGAAGGGCAGTTTGATAGATAAGATTTTTACTGAAACAAAAAAAAATTTATTTTAGAATTAAAAGATCAAACAGAAATTAGTATAGTTTTAAAGATCGTTAAATTTAAGTTTTCTATAACAGTAAAACGAAAACTATCGATAGAATTTCACAAAACAATGGTTACATTAAGCAATATTTGCAATAGTAGGTGTACCAAGCAGAATTAAAACGTAAAGAACATCAACTACCTCTAATGTACATGATGTTTTACACGTTGCTGAGAAAAACAGAGTGAATGTAATAGATATCGTTGAAGAAATTTACACTTTAGTTGTAGAACTTTCTAACGCTGCATGTAATATTATATTAGAGATTATATTTCTATTGACTTGTGTTTGTTTTCTTCTTTCATCTTGGAAATGTATTAGATTGTATTTGTAGCTTGAGAAAACAAATAAAACGTTGACGACTCATATCAACAACAGTTTCGGTGGCGTTGTAATCATGTTCTAACTTGGTTACCAATAATCATATAGTTTTCAGAAAAGTCTTATTTTGTAGAGAAAATATTTCTCTACAAAATGAGCCAATTAAATGTTTCTTACACTTTTTCCTTTTCTGCGGACTCTACAGCTGTGATGAGAAAGTTCCCTGCTAATTTCTAGTGTTAGATGATGAAATCGCACCTACATTTGGCCTTTATTGCTATTCTAAACATCAATGTATATTTCTCAGTCAAGATAAACTTCTGAACATTATTTTTTATATTGTAAAAAACTTGGTTTTCAGTACACTTTGACAAAGTTTACTTGTATAAACAACGGGTCGGAAAATATTTTGTTTTAAATCTCCATTACAAACACTGACATGAACGTTGCATGAGAACAATTTTATAATGCTTTTGTGAAACTGATATTATAGCAGATTAATTATAGAATGAAAATTCTATAAGAATAACAGATGAAAAAAGTTCATGAAATTTAAAATTGCATCACCAATCATATATTTGGACAATTTTAAAAGTTATTTTTTTTTTTGATAAATTTACAAAATTAATTGATTGACATCTTCAACTCCATTGGATCATTTTGAATAGTAAGTGCAAATAAAATTATACAAAAAGAAATTTTTAACAAGAATCCAATAAAATCTTGAACTCAATTGAAAAAAATTCGATAGTCTCTAAACTGATTTTTAGACTTCATATAGATCAGAATACATGAAAAAAAATTTCTTCATGATCTATAAACTAATAACTTTCGAAAAAAAAAAGATATTTTATGAAATCATATCAAGATTAGATGTATGAGAGCATTACAGATCAACAATTTCAAAGAGTTTTATCAAACTACTGATAATCAACAAGTTATCAAACCAGTTGAATTACTGAATATCCCGTTTGTCTTGTCGAATTAGTTTATGAGAACTTTATTTCAGGTTATGTGAGTTGAAATGTAGCTATAACAAATATACTAGAAAGGATAATATCAACTTTTCAGTAATTCAAGTTCACATAAAACAAGTAGCTCATCAGTTGATGGTCGATACCAGTTCAGTTAATCAACATGAATCTGTCAGTTATCTAATGAAAATCAAAAGTCCTAAGATAATTCTTTCTAAAAATTTAAACTCAAAATTGTTAAAAAATTNATAAATCAAATATGATTAGCTAATGTGGTTTCCAGGGCAGCTAAATATTTTTTCGAAAAAGACTTCAAAGAAACTTTTACTAAATTGTTAGAAAGGATTGTACTTGATATAAATAATCATGGCAACTATTCTCAACATTTGATAAAATAAAATTGAAAATATCTCTGCATCTTTATATTTTTATTTAATGCTCTGAGAACTTTTGGTTACTCCTAAGTATGATATACATGAAAATCTCGTTCTTTTAATGAGCATATAATTCAACAGATGCCTTACAAAAATACTCTGCTTATAACTATAAATCATCAAGCCTATATGAAGTCTTGTTTTCAATAACATATTCATTGTCTGTTTCATCGCTTTCAAAAATCTTAACACATTTTATCAGATAAATATACTTTGATTATTCGATTATTTGTATAGTGAATATCACTAGATAAGAACAAAAAAAAACAAAAAATAAATATCTGGAAATTATTAATTGATCCTTTTATCTTATATAGAATGTACACACAAAAGCATTATTAATCATAAGAATGAACGAGAACAATGATTAAGGAAAAATAATAATGATCATATCCAAAGTCATGAAAATTTATGATAATTTTTTCTTGTTTTTTTTTGTTTGTGTATGTTTATGATTATGATCATTGTTGTTGTTTAATCGTTTCATTGATGAATTTAAAGTAATTATTTTACTACTAAAATAGATCAAACAAAAGTAAAATATTTTGTCAGATACACGTTTCTATAGGGAGTAACTTACCATCGATCTCGACGAGATGTACATAGTTTTTCAATTTCTTTATTAATTAAATCATTCCAATATTTATCTGTTTCTTCACGATATGCTTTAGTTTCATTAATCTTTGTTTGTATTTCATTCATCTCTTTCAATGCTAATTTCTTTTTTGATGCTGCTGATTCTATTTTAGTAGAACAGGAAGCTATACATTTCCGAGCTGATGCCATCCGTTCAGTAGCTGATGCCATAAGTGCATTAGAAGATTTCAAAACTTCATTCGTTGATTTATTTCCAACATTAATTTTATGCAATTCATCTTTTAGTTTATTAATATGAGCCTTAAATTTAGCTGTGTCTTCAGCAAATTGTTTTTGTAGTTCAAATATCCATTCAGGTGTTGTTTCCTAAAAGATAAATAATAGAAAGATCTATCAGATAATATTAAATAAAGATGCCTTTTAGATGTATTTTGTTGTTTAATGAAAGTAACTTCATTTTCTTTTACATAGACAAATCATTTTAATGATTCTGAAAGAATCATATTTGACTTTCGTTGCAACAAGTTCTATATTTAAAGTAGAAAAATAGTTGAATTGATGTAACTACTAAATGTTTTATAGACTAACATCAGATGCTTATAGCTAAACGATTGCAATCAAAATGATTCTAACATTGAAATGCAATATTATCAAGAAGTTACAAGTTCAAATATTAATATATAGCCTTTTCTATAGATTCTAAAAAGCTAATTACATTACTCATATGTCAATCACTGCTACTATATAAACAATTTTGTTGAAACAAAGATATGTATGAAACAATTTATCTAAAAGTTTTCATCTTGAAATGTCTAACTGTTGAAAATATTCTGTAGTATAAATGTAAATTTATCTTTTTCTTTCTGAAATATTCATTATATTAAATACAAATTTAAGAAGCTGCCGAAATTTATCTATTTGTAGAATATAATAGACTTTAACCATGTCAAATGATAGCCGTGACTATGTAGAATTATACCATCATCCTCAATCGATTGACCATAGTGAGTTTCGTGTTCAACTCTATTCTCAAGATCCAAGAAAGTTTTTCCAAAAAGATAATATCTAGTAGTTTTGTTATTGTTTGCGTTATATCAAAACAATTATAAATATCTTATATATGGAAAAATTTTTGAAAAACTTTATAGCTTTACATTTAGAATATGTGAATTAGAACGATTTTTGTATTAAAAATAGCTACAAGGATGAACTACTTCAAAAGAAAAATCACAATATCAATCAGACAATTATTTTTTAATTATAAATAATATTAAACGATTTAATTAATAGTTTAATATTATTAAATCTTGACACTGTAATAAATTATAGAAATAATTTCTTTTCAAAAAAAATCTATCATAGATGGAAAATAATAGGACTTGCTTACTTCTTCATTTGAATACATATTATTTGTTATGAAGTAATATGAAGCAACAAATGATAACGTTCGAATTAACGTATAGTTTTTTTTTTTTTGATACATATATATACATATGATTCGTCAATAATTGATAATGACCTTTGTCTTTTTGGACTACAATCTATACGATCATCTATTTTCTCTAATTTGTCATTAATGTTATCATATTCTTAAAAAAAAACAGAATCAAACAATATTGCCTTATGCACATTTTATCAAAATATATAATTATCTTTATATCTTAAATGGAAATATTATCAATTACAAGATGAATGATTTTTTTTACTACAGATTTCTGAACGTTTCATTTCATTGAAACTATAATGATAAACCTTCGAATCTTAAAATTTTGTATAATATTGTCTATAGATCGATTTAGAAAATCTTCTACAGATGAACAAATTGATGAGTAACTATTTGATTAGAGAACTATTCTTACGAAATGCAAATGAAATGTACATTTTCAGAGATTAAGACTTTTGTCTTCGTTATTGATAATGATTTATATAGTTGAATTATATATTCGATATATAAAGTCTTGTCAATATATCATTACTTAATTACATATGTTAGGGAATATGAATTTGCGGCAAAATCATTTCTACGAAAAAAAGCAAACAATTTGTTGCAAAATCAATTATATACATCTAAAGCGACAGATACCTGTAAAAGCAATAATTGGATATGGGTCTTTTATCACTATAGCGGTATAAAGAATAATAGGGCAATGGATCTTATACCGCTATAGTGATATAAGATTCATACTCCAATTATTGCTTATATCGGTATATGCTGCTTTAGACGTTATAATTGATTTTGCAACAAATTGTTTGTTTTTTTCGTAGAAATGATTTTGCCGCAAATTCATATTCGGCAACATATGATTTAAAAACTTATAAGAAAGCCGAATCGAATTGAAATTTTCTTATTCGTTTCGATCTCTGCTAGGTTGGAAAAAAATAGAAGGAATGAGTCGAGAAAGATACTCATCATGAAATGATGATTCAACACATTATAAATTCAAGAAAGAAAAAGGAAATTTGTTTATATTTTACAAATTGCAAAGGAGATTTCCATATTCGAAATGAAATTACTGCAGATTTTAAAGATAAAATCTGAAAATAACATGTCCTTCTTCGCTTATTTTAAATTGCGCATTTTATGTCTTAAAGAATACGTGAATTATACAATTGTCAAGTGTAAAAGTGATAACTACTATATTCATCGTATTGTATTGTAATAAGTCAGTCAGATGTTTTCCTCACCCGACTTCCGATTTGATGTTGATTAAATTCAAGTTAAAAAGATAAAAATGAAATCTACGACATTATATATTATTAAAGTTTTAGTTATAAGTAAAAGACAATTTTTTTTTTCTTTTGTGTTTAATTACTTCGCGTATTCCAATCTCGACTAAAGTCTCATATCAATTGTGACACATGCATCATAGGAGCATACTACACAAATGTTGCTTGCTGTTTATGTATGATTATGTATTGTAGACAGTGCTCTTTGTAAAGGAGAATCTTTGCGCCACTCATTATGTCTAGTATCGAAATATACGATTAAACCATAGTTTTTCATGTGCGAAGAAAATTTTTTTTTTTGACAATTCACTTTGCATTGTGTTTGATATTTTCGTCATCTTAATTATGAGCAATGTAATATTGTTCTGCGGATTTTATTTTCAAATATATATATATAAGAAGAAAAAGTCTTATCAATCTTCAATTTGTGCTATTAGAAAAACACAAAAATCATTTATATAATATCTGTCAATGAAAAATGAAAAAATGAGTTATTATTGTTGAGTTGTGATGTTTGTTATCTTATCGACATATTCCATCATGGAGAATTTACATGATTTATATAGTAAAAAACATTACGAAAGTGAGGAAAAAAAAAAAAAATGGCAAACACTCGTAGAAAAAAATTCAGAAGTAGAATTAAAGTTAAGAGACAATAGAAGATGAAATTAATTCAAACAAAAACAATCTATAAATTCCATTAGAATATTTCGCTGTTAGTCAATAAAAAAAAAAACAATCAATGTCTACTGTAGAATAAACACACAATATCAGGCCTCCCAATCAGAGAGGAACTGAGGGCTCTATCTTTCTCGAAATTTGAAAAGTGTTTCACTTTCTACCAACAAAATCTCTCAGAAATCCTGTGCTTTTGACATTTTCCGTTTGGTATATATTATAGAATCAAACTAAAACAATTTCTGGCACAATATCTGCACTTTTTGTCAAATCTTAGCCTTCTCAATTTTTGAAAACAATCGAAAACTTCGTACAATATCGATCTAACAATACTCACCGACGAATTAAATACTCCTGAATCTTCTCATCTTCTCAAAGTTGTCGATGACGTGAGAGAAATATTACATCATGAAAACATTTCTCTTCTTCATATTGTTGTTGTTGGCGATCAATCGGTATGTAAAATCACATTATGATAACAATATGGATTTTTTCTTCGTATGTTCTAAGGTTGGTAAATCATCTGTTCTCGAAGCACTGAGTGAACTTCAATTGCCACGAGCACAAAATATTTGCACATGATGTCCACTAGAGTTACGTATGAAAAATATTTAATTTATTCAGAAGGAATATGCTGCTATTCGATGTGAAAATGTGCCCTTGATCAAAATCAATAATTTTTCGGAGATTACGGCCAAAGTAACGGATTGTACTGTACGATTGGTTGGTGAAAAACATAATGTTTCATCAAAGCCTATTTACTTAACTGTCTACAAGCATGATATCCAAGCAGATTTAACACTGATTGATTTACCAGGTAATCGGCTACAATTTGAGAAAATGAGTCAAGTGTTAAAACATAATTATTTCTTTCTAATTGTATAGATATTACTCGTAACAACCCAATTGAAGAACAATCGAAAACAATTTAGAAAGATATAGTTGACCTTATGGAACATTATATTAAACCACAAACAACTATTGTCTTACATGTGATTCCATCATCTATAGATTTTACAATTTCAGAATCGATTCAACTTGCAAAAAAAAATGATCCACAATGTAAGCATACACAAGTTGTATTTTTATTGTTAAACAATTATATACGTTAAAAGATGAAAGACAATTGATTGCGGTATCAAAGATTGATAAGTATGATAAAGGTATTGGACCAGGTTCAATGGTACTTAAACTTGGTTGTGTAGCTGTGCTTAATCATACACAAGAGGAAATCGAACAGAATATTTCATTTGATAAAATACGACGACATGAACAAGAATTTTTTCATACTAATAAAGCATTTGAAGATGTACCGGAATGATATCTTGGCAGTAGACAATTAGTAAGATGACTTGCTTTAATTCAACAAGAACGTATTCGTTCAACTCTTCCATCAATAATAGATGAACTTAAAAAAGGAAATAAAATCAAAAAGATCTGAATTAAAACAAACATCACCATCAGCTACTTCTGAAATAGAGTGTTGGCCATTATATACTGATGTAATTAAAAAATACCGTGAAATTATTAATACACGTGTTAATGGGGTATATGATAATGAAATGCAATTAAAAATTGAAGAACCGATCTTTACAGCAACTAATTTATCACGAACAACTAGTATTACACAAACGTCTAATGATCGAGTCGATGAACAAATTGCTTTTCAACTCTATAATCGATACAGAGAATGCCGAGATAAACTTCATAATTCTTTCACAGATTTCTTTTCAACGGGATATTAAAGAATGGTATTAAAATTACTTGAAGAAAATGCTGGTGTTGCTTTACCTAATTTTCCATCATTTAATATCATTGAACGACTTTCTCATGCTGAACAAAATAAATTTCGAAAACCATATGAAGATTTAATTGAATCATATAGTGAATATTCGAAAAGAGTGTTTATTAAAATATTAAATCAAATTTTTGCTGAAGAGACAAGTTATAAACATCAAATAATACATAAATTAACTGATGTAATTCTACGTGCTATTGATGAAAGTGAAACATAATGTACTAATGATATAAATAAGATAGTGGAAATTGAACAGCGTGTATTTACACTTAATCACTATTATATGGATACAGTGAACAAAATCAAAAAGAAATATCAAAAATATGAAGATAGTCTTAAATCAAGTAAGTTTCATTTTTATAAATCAAATATAAATATATTAACTATTGATTTTCTTTGTTAGTTGGAAATACGAAAATTTTCATGAAATTTACTATCAATGATTTTGCAATAGATGTGAGTGGTCTTTCAAATAAACATCAAGCAGCATTAGATATACAAATAGCTATGTCAGCTTATTGTCGTTTCATTGAAAAACATATTGTTAATCAGGTTTTTCCGCTTTGTTATTATTGGTTTATCACTCAATGTGCCCTTGTACTCGACTCAAAATTAAGTTCGGCATTTACATTGGTTGTGTTGTTTGAATTTATGTGTGAATTATTCCAGCAACAATAAAAACATGAGAATTTGAAGAGAAGTATTGAATCAGCATTCGACCAGCTATGGTTCGAAGGCTGTATTAGAAAATTAGTCAAAATGGGTACACCGTATGCATATGTCAACTGGATACGAGGATGGCTAATGAACCGTCATGCGGTCGTTGAAATTCAAGGCAAATGGTCCAGACGGCTTACAATTCAACGGGGATGTCCACAAGGTTTCAGCTTTTCATTTACTTTGTTCATTACATATCATAGTGATATGGCTGATTTTATACCTGGAGTTATGTCTTTCTTTTTTTGCTGATGACCTGGCGGCAGTACTAGTGGGACAAATTGGAATTAGATTCACCAATCAGTGTTTAGATCTAGAACATCGACTGCAAACTTTTTTGGATCAACTGGAATTTTATTCTATTCTAGCTGTACAACCAAACAACTACTCGAAAATTCAAGCAATGTTCTCTGTCCGTGCCATAGAATATCCAAATTCAATGCCAGAACTACGTTGCGGCAACAGTTCGTTAGAGTGAATTACCTTGTTCAAGTATCTAGGATACTGGCTGAATACGAAGTTGGGTTGGGAAAATGTTATTGGGAAGATGCGATTGAAAATGCGCTAACGAACAGCACTTGTTAATTCTTTTAAGTACAGTGGTACTTCATCCACAAAATTACGACAAATATTGTTCTCCTCTTTCGTATTGCCGCATTTCACTTGGTTGTTTGCTCTATATCTTCTATTTACAGAAAATCAGCGAGAGAAATTTAATCATCTATATTTTACTCTTTTGAAACGAACATATCGATGTCAATATTGGGATAACTTTCTTTTTTCATCATTATACAATGAAAAACCATTGGATGATCTGTGTTATTCTTACTGCGAAAAGTATACAAAGACGTTATCAACGTCAAATGATGGATTTCTTCTACTGAAACAATTATCACTTAACGCGCACAGATCTAACTAGCAGGAAGGGAATCAACGTATACGCTGCCTTTATAAATCAAAAAGATTCGTACCTCACATGGATTTGTTAGGAAAAGCACTAGAATGGATGACATCACATGGATCTTCCGACTTCGTTGTCGCACGTAACGAGGAGGAGATATTACTATTTGCTCAATTCCCCGAAACTTTTTAAATTATTGGAGAAAACCTATTAATACTCTGGGTCATGCTGACAAAAAAAAAAGAGGACAGATGAGGGGAGACCAGCAGCAATGGAAGAGCGAGAAAAAAAAAGAACAAAGAAAGGAAAGGCAAGGAATATAGAACAACATGGTGTGCATAGGATGATTAACAAAAAGAGATAGGATATAAAAAAAAAGGAAAAAGAGAAAGAGTAAAAATATGTGCATACCATTTTCGCCATATGTGTGATATCTCCTCAGCCACTGCTATTATATTTAAATACAGTGTACTTTGAACAGTATAAGTAATTCTGTATACTGCGCTTGATTGCACTATTCGTTATCATATTACAATATTTTCTTCATACTCGCTTCTGTAGCTATAGAATATATTTCTCTTCAAATCGTAGCAGGAATGGTTTGGCATAATTGTCGCGATATTTATTCATCACTTGTCATTATGGTACTCATCATAATAGGATCATCGCATGCTCGAAATATGTCGAACAGTACTCGGATCTCGATCAAATGCTGCAAAATGCATTAGAAGCTCAACAAGATGGCGAAAAAACCAAGATAGTGATCAATTATAGAGTGAAAATGAGAATCAAGGTTTGATTAATACAATTGTAAACTATAACAACAAGATAAAGAACATAGAAAATAAATATAATTTTGTAGTCAATAACTTCGCCAATTCGAGTCACGTGAAGAAAGCTATCGAAAAAACGCAAGAACTCGAAAAACATATCTTTGGAGCGCCTCTTCTGCACCGCTCCTGGCGTGAGCTAATACTGTTGGTTATGTTTGGTGGCGCTGTGTGTGTGGTTTATTGATATACGTAGGAAAAAATTATCTGATTCCATCGTTAATTAAATACATTCGTAAAAAACTCGATATTAATACACGTGATGCATCAAGTACTTGCGAACATGTACAGAAGAGGGCCCCAAATAATATGGGATCATTAGTACAGGAGCTTATGCGTACTTTGCAGCAACAGATAGATGACCAGAACAAAAGAATTAATGATATTTTGTGAAACTCACGTATATTTTCGAAGAAAATAGTGAGTGTAAGTTTTAAGTTCAAGTTTTGGCGACTCCCCCCCCTCCCCCACAGTTGGCAGAACAAGGGAGTCAGGAGCAATTCCCAGATGCCAAATAGCTTTTTGAGTCAAGACTATATGCATTATGTAGACTCTAATGAGATATGAACATCCTGAAAAGAGTTCGCGTTCGTAGCTTATTTCTGTTGAGATATTTAGTTTTTACGGCATTTTTTATCAAAAAGCCGAGGTACCCCTCAGGTTCACATGAAAAAAAACAATTTTCGAATTTCGACTTGAAACTTTGCGCAGAGAAAGGTCTCAATGGGTCTAGTTTATTCTGAAAGTTTTGGACTTTTGGGTTGCTTCTAACTCAATATACGGGTATAGTCAAAAATAGTCTTTTTCACATCACTTATAGCACAAGATGTTAAATGTTCATATTTAAGAATAGGAGCAACCAAGAGATTTGAAACTTTCAGAATGAACTAGTCTTTATTGAGATCTATCTCTGCGCAAAGTTTCAAGTCGAAATTCGAAAGTTGATTTTTCAAGTGAACCTGAAGGAAACCACGGTATTGTGCTATAAAATGCCAAATATATCGACAAGGATTCAATGGCGCATCTTTGCGCATCTACTGAAGATAGATCATGACACGTTCTATCAAACGATAAATTTAAACTTGAATTTAAACTTCCGAAAAATCCCGCAAACGAACTGCATTATGGGCCAGTGGCTATTTTTCACTATACTGATGGGAAGTTTTTGATCTTATTATAGTGTAAAGAACTTCAAGAAGTCGAAACAGTATGTAATATATAGTAAATACATAACACTGTATAACTACATAATAAATAATGGATATAACTGGATTCTCGATTTAACATATGCATTTTACTTATATGGCCGTATTAATGATATTTACCTATTTTACATACCTTATGGTGCCTGCAAGTTAACAGATACTTGCTTTCAATCATTATCCTGGATGCAGTTAAATGCAGAATCACAGCAGCTCCAATGCTAACTACAATATGGGTTCGAATCTCGAAAGCCCATTTTTCCTCCTGGCTGCCCACTATGCCCCCTCTCCCCTTCCCATTACAGACAGGCCCCCATTAGTCAGAAAACTTTAAAAAGTTAGAAATTCTTGATTTTATACTGTCTATATTTGATATTAGTATAATGAAGCTGAAGAACATACGTGAGTTCCACATTTCAGCCCCAAAGAGGCTGCGCCAACAAGCTTTTCTACATACTGAATAATACTAATACAACCACGACTAAAGAGTCGGCGTAATATGTAGTGTTTTGATATTGATATACAAAAAGGACGATTGTGAGTTCTTGCACGCTCTTTATGGTTGCTCGTTCGGATGTTTTTTTGTGCCACACATATTCTCTGCATGAACGCTTGTACCTTTCTTTCTTTTTCCTTCCTTTTTTTAACTTTTATTTTATTATATCTCTGAATCACTTTAAAGCCCAACTGTCCCCTTAAGACCGACATGGTCGTGGGGTTCAACTTAGCAAATAAAAAAAAATTCAGATAAAGATATATGTTATCTTGCTGTTCTTTATTCACTTGTCAACTATATTTTATATAATATCATATCTCAGATGTCTCTATTTTCTTCTTTCTACTAAAGAATTACTCAATTAACAAAACGTAAATTCAATCTTGAAAAAAACCAAGTGATATTCAAAGGCAAACGGAAATTATTGGAACAGATCGATAATAATTTGTCAGTATAAATACACGTTAAGTTCTCATCGTTCGATAGTCTATAAATCATTATTTATTGAAAAACTGATTTTATAAATCTATTTCATTTGAAAATTCCACACTCTTTTTTAACACATATTTTATATGATGATAAATTTCATACATAGATGCAAACAATGTATTATAATACTCATATTATTTTTCTTTGTATTACTTATGATTTATTCAAATACAAATTGGTACATACAAAATCAGATTAATTCCGAAAGATTTTCATCACCATCAATTCATCTAGTGACTGCTATACTTGTCAATCATCATCATGCATGGAATGCAGATAATGATCGAAAAGATGAAACTGGTCTATGGATGTTAGATCCTTTAGTGGATAATATTAATAAAACTGTATATGTTTCAGATATGGGTAAATCCGTCGGGTTTCTACCACTTTTAGGGAAAAAGCTTTTTTTATCGAGTTTTTTGTGCTGGTTAGGCGTAACATGGATAGAAAATAGATTTGGCCGAAAAAAATTTGTGGCTACTATCTGAAATACCGGAGATTCAGGTCGTTTTCTAGGAACATCTAAGGAGGAGCAAGATCACCCAGGTTATTACAATCTTTAAAGCTCATATTTTGCCCATAGGTAGGAGATCACTAGACTAGCACAACCTCCAAAGGATTCTTTTTTTTGAATCTATTATGGCTGAGATATAAAATTTTTAAGGAAAACAACTTTAACATAATTTTGACCAAAACCATTTTATTGAAACAAACACGTAGAATTCGCTCTCCTTAAAAATCTTTTATCTCAGCCATAATAGATTGAAAAAAAGAATCCTTTGGAGGTTGTGCTAGTCTAGTGACCTCCTACCTACGAGCAAAATATGAGCTTTAAACATTGTAATAACGTGGGTGATCTTGCTCCTCCTTAGATGTTCGTAGAAAACGACTTGAATCTCAGGTATTTCAGATAGTAGCCACAAATTGTTTTCGACCAAATCTATTTTCTATCCACGTTACGCCTAACCAGCACAAAAAACTCGATAAAAAAAAACTTTTTCCAAAAAGTGGTAGAAACCTCACGGATTCACCCTGATATTATCACCGCATCCACAAAATAATTCATAATTAATTAATAATTATCTAATAAATCTTTTTCTTTTTGATATCCATTAGTTAGTGGAATATAACATTTGTTATGAATATTTGCCTAAAACTTGATTATTTCAAAGCAATTTTATCATTATAAAACTCTTCATTTTCATCTTTGGACTTCTTTAGTCTAATCGTTCTGTGTCAACAACTCGTAGTGATATTGAAATGATGGAAACTGATATTAATGAAAACGAACAAGTCGCAGCCGTTCGTACACTTGTTGGACGATTTGAACATGAAGTTCTTTCTCAGCAAAAACAATATCGAGATAATTTACTTATATTATATTTACTATTTATTATATCATTACCATCAGAATGTATTGATTATGATTTTTGCTGATTAAGTACCGGCGATTCAAATAAAATCTTTGAATGAAGAAAGAAGGATAACGTTTGAATATTTTTAGCTTGCTTGAAGTATTGGTTTAACTTATTTAACACTAGTTTAAACAGACAATAAATAGTTTGGAACGATGGTCACAGTCAACATTAAATTTACCGGATTTTTTATGATCAAATTTTACCTTATCTGGATGAATTTCTTCGTGTATCTCATGATGAAGGTAACGAAAAAAGAAAAAAGATTTCAAAACATGTGAATATTGAATATTTTAGGTGATGATATTAATGTTCATGCTGTTATCTAATCCTCACAAGAAAAAAATACGTTGTCATTCGAAAAGTAAATATACTTTATACCAACATGAATGCTTAAAAAGACAAAATAGATCAAACATGTATGAAGAAATTTCGATTTAAATGATGAAATTCATTCTTATTTGTTTTTCATAGCTTTTCTTCTGATAGTGATATTCGTCGTGTACAATTTCATCTTTTGAAATATCTTGGTTCATTAGGCAATTGTATTAATCATTATCTGATTGATGATACTTCAAATTATTTAATCAAAGAAGCGGTCACATGAGATAATGAAAATCATATAACATTTAATGTTCCATTTGATGATTTATAACCAACGATTCATCTCGATAATAAAAAAATCTTGATTTTTCTTTAATAATCTTTTTGATTTGAATTTAGATATTTTATTGTTGACGTCGGATTGTTGATTTAGCATTACATAGTTCTAATCGTCAAATAAAAATTACTGCATGTCAATTACTTCAGTCAGGTATGCTTTATATGATTGAAAAAAGTGCGAATAATCGAAGCAATGCTGCAGTTAGTTTCTATCATTTAATCATCAGATAAAAATCTACGAATTTTTGAATGTAGACTTCTTATGAAAAACTTTATAAACATTTATTTTCTACTGTACAGGAATTATCATGTGATTCCGATCAAGGAGGAAAAGGCGTACTCCGGGAGTACAAGACTACAGTGAAGATACGAAAGTATAAAAAGAATGTAATGGAAGTGCGTGAGATATATTAAGATTATCATGGGAATACGGGAGTACGTGAAGTAGGCGACTACGTCATTATCTTCGTGGATTTAGGTTTATATTTTTCTTAGTTATAAAACAGTACTCCCACTATACTCCCCGTACGCCGAGAATCCAGGGAGTACATGGATTCCACGGAGTATGGAGGGTACGCTTTTTCTCCCTTGGATTTTGATATATTCAGAAGATTTCATTGATATTTTCGATAAGATTTTTCGATCGAATATTTAGTTTACTAAAACATTATTTACTACATTTATGATTCAAATAATTCATTGGTTTACAAATAATAAAAATTATGAAAATTCGGAGACGATGTCTATATTTAATACATTTATGGTTCAACATTTTTTGTTATTTTTCTCTATGAAAAGGTTGAAATTTTTTTATAGCATGGGATGATATGCTATAGTAATGCATTGATACGAGATTTCCGTGATATTTGTCTAAAAGAACTTTTGAAATGGACTATCAAACATGCTAATGAATATGATAAAACAGCTTATTTAAAAAATACGACATCGATTTTGAAAGATATTTTAAGTTTTTCATTACATTCAAATAGTTTTAAAAGACTTGAATTAACATTAGTATGAAATTCTTGAGGTAGAGAAAAAATTTCGTTCAATGAAAGTTTGAAACGATTTTTTTAGGAAATCGGAAAAATTAATTAATGTTTATACTCTGCAATTACTTTATGTATTTGTGGAAATGTAGTAATTGCTCAAGGAGATGATCCATCGCTTGGTAAATTGACGACTAAATTTGGTTAAATTGATAATTATGGTTGGTTTTAGGTACTCAACAACAAGCCATTGGAGCTTTATTTCATAAAGAACGAATAATAAAAGAAAAATCATATTTATTTGTTAAAGAAATACCAAAACAACATTGTCCATCGTAGGTTCTTTTTTCTTGACGAGAGATTTTAATTGAATAATCTATTAGATTATGGACTGAAGCGTCACTTGATGTTACTGTTCTATGGTTACTTCTTCTAATGTGGAAGAATTGAAACTGAACCGCAAAGAAAATGTATTGAACTTGTTTGTACATTTATTCCTCTTCAACCTGGTATAAGACGTTTGATTTCTTTCAGTAAAATTAACCATTTCTTTTCATAGGAATTCAATCAATTTGAGAATATTTTCAATTAAAAATTAAATCCGAAGGAAATATTTATTTTATCGAAAGGTACGACGAAAGAAAAGAAAACCTTGAAGAAAAATCTCTTCTTGAAATTAAAAATTTTCAGATTCGAAGGTACATTAGGTAAAGACAAGAAAACAAGATTCAAAGCAAATTTAACTAATCAAACATATTTAACTGATATGAGTGAACAATTTTCACTTCCGTTGGTTTATCAATGGTTTGATACAGTTATTACTTCATTAGATTGTTATACATGAGTATTTTCACAAGGTTTTCTCAATCCTTTTTTATTTCAAGGTAAGTTTTAAAATTAAACTCCAGAGAGCACTAAGAATAAAACCGGCAAAATCTATTTTATTATTTTAGGCAACAATCAACGAAGCCGATTAATAAGCTCGTTAACGTATTTTATCTGAAAAATTTCGATGAGTACATTACATGATATGATGACCTATTTTCCATCGTCCAATTAATCATATGCATTTACAGAAATCGATGTTTGTCAATTTGACACGTTAGTAAAACTAATATTCACTTTAATTTCTTATTCGAAATATTTATTTAGTTCGAAATGTACGATGATTATTCGTTTACTTTATTTTATTACTGCACTATGATCAAAATATCTACAAGATACAAAATGTGTAATTGATAGTTCATTTTATAGTAATTATTTTAATGAAATTAATTTTAACTTTTGTTTTTAATCTAACACAACTTGCTTTTGATATTAATAATGAAGAAATTAATAGAAAATTCTCAGAACGAGATTGTTTTCATTTTAAATTATTTAATTAATGAAGAAATTGACTTATTTTACTTAAATCAATGATAACTCATCTACCTGATCAATTATTCCAACCATTTTATAATATTGCTCTACAAATGACCAAACTTGATGAACAAGTTAGTTTAGAATAAATCTCGAATATTATTTTTATTATTTGAAGATTGTACAATCTAAGCAATGAATTACACTAATTCGATGTGATTATTCTCTATAGGGTTGGTTGCAACACCTAAATGAAAATTATGGAAAGTTATTTGAGCCGCTCGTGATTTTGGTTTGACAATTATTATGACTAGTTATAGATAGATCGATTCATTAATTTTCATATAGCTGACTTTTGTTTTATTTTTACTATGAAAGAATGTGAAGCTTTATGTACCAGTAAGCTATCGAAATATCAATTGAAACCTATTGTTTATTTGACTTATTTAGAAATTGGTATAATGAAAACAGGTCAATTTATGTATCTTGGAAATCTGCAACATTTAAGAAATCATTTTGGTAATGATTATGCTATACAAGTCAAAATAGCTAGAGATGATATAGAAAAAGTCAAACAAGATTTAATAACTAATTTATCAGGAATTGAAATTTAAGGTATAATGACAATATTTATTGTGCACATTATTTTTTCTGTAATTATGTTATGAATAAATCAACATAATGAAGTACTCTCTTGTAATATTCCTTTTTCAACTTTATTGTCGAATGAAATAAGTTCATCAAAATCATCTTTTAATTTGGGTCGTGTATTTGAAATTTTAAATGCAAGACAAGAACCAAAAATCATTGAATCATATTCAGTAACACAAACAACACTGGAACAAATATTTGTTCAACTTGCTGGTGAAGATGAAGATCTTTCATCTGATCAAGATCAAAATAATGAACAAAGTAAGTGAGAAATTTTGAATAGAAATTCAGAATAATTTTGAAATTATATTTCTGATAAAAATAGTTGTTGAAAAAATTGATTAAAAAATTATATTCTAATATATTGTCTATTAATGTATGATCTTTGTTTGAACAATAAATTCTAAATTTTTCTTTTTCTTTTTAGATTTTCATCGAATAGTAACCAGACTTTAATATGATGAATATTCATTTTTAATTTTAATTACTTCTTTAATTAGTGTGCTTTGTCAAAATATTTATTTATTTTTTCTATGTATATTTGTGAAACCGGTGAATATTTCTTTCGCTTATTGTGATTTATGATTTCAAATAAAAAATTTTGCTCTAGTGTATGAATATCAAGGTGGAATTCAGTTTAATCAATACATTCTTTAAATCATTTGATTTTGATAAGTTGATCATATTTAAGGAAAAACTCATACGTATAGTTTAACAGATTAATATTTAATTAGAGAGCATAAATCCTATTTCACGATGTTAATCATTGCAGAATCATTCCTATCTTTGGGATATTTGATTATTAGTTTACATTATTAGATTGAATCAAATCGTTCGAATTTCGTCGAACTCTCATTGAGTGTAATATGCATGAAAATATAGATAATTCTGCGAATTGGATCAGTCTAGATTCATTTGGAATTTTCGAACAATTTAGTATAACAGTGTTCAACGTAGCGAGACAGAGGTGGAATCCGTCTGGCCGGACGGGACCAGATTCGAGAAGAGAAGATGAGCGGATGTGTGATAAGTAATATATCTAGTCACACGCACAAATCCAGATTTGTTTACTTCCCCATCCTATGTCTATACCATTGAAGCAATCGAATTAGGATAATATGGCATTCACCTCTAGCTATTATCTTAATTTTTACCTTATTTTTTGCATCTCTTCGAACACTACTAATAAGCTTTAGTACCAAAACATGTTGAACAGATGCCGAGATGGTGAGGGTTACAAACGTACACTTTCTTCTATGCTCGAAAAACATTATAGTAGAGCTCCAATTCCTTTAGACAGTTTATTAAAATATGATATTTTGGGAGTTCAGAGAGAGAAAAGAAAATATAAATGACTGAATCTACATCATGAAGATATGACTTTGGATGGGCGTTGTATAGCAAGACAAAAGTAACTAACTGAACGAGTAACATAGAAAGTCGAATTTTTTTGTAGTAGCATCTGTAGGTTTTCAAGTACACATGTATACATATGACGCAACATATACAAATGAACACAATTTCTTTCGTACGATCCTTCTTCATTCGAGAGAATAAAAAACAGAAAAGAAAATCATGAGGGAATGATAATGTAGTTAGGTTCTTATTGCCAGCGATTAAGTCCTTTATAGATAAATTATTACTTTTGGACCTATCATATGTTGTTACAATGGATCAGCATGTTAGGTTGCAATAAAATTGATGTTGATCATTAATACATATGACGCTATATTGAGCACATACAAGCTCCTTACAAAAAATATTTCATGCATTTTTTTCTAAAAGAATTATTCAACAATGCTTATTATCATCTACTATGCAGAAAACTTATATATTAGTATAGTAAAAGTTCTATTAATGAACAACCCTCTAATGTAATCAACCTGTTAAACTGAATACGCTTCAGTCCGCCCGAATAGATTTAGTTGGTTTTGAACCCCACCTGTATAATCAGCCCACCATTCTGAACAACCATAGAAAGTACTGTGTAACAGAGTTCTCAATGGGCTGAGTCGGGCCAATAAAAACCAGCTCATGGACTATAAATCTCGGCCCGGCCCAGCCCATGGTTTTTTCTAAAATAACCGGCCCGTCCATGGGTATCCATGGGCCACTCATTTGATTGATACTTTTTCAGACAGACATGTTGACTTGCCATGCTAACTGAAGTAATTAAAATGCTAAGCACTTTATCGTATGGCGTCAGGAGTTTTCTTTCTTTAATTAATTCTAGCTAGGCGTACATATGTCAAGTCGTCATTTTGTGTCGAACTCAACTGAAAAACGGAAAATCTGAAATTTTTCATTGAAACGTAAGGTGAAAGTATCAAGCTGGTGCTGATACCCGTTTTTTCCAATCTTCCAAAAAATGCTCTGCTCACTGATTACATATAATGAATCACATGGATAATTAATGACGAACTTTTACATGTCTGATTTTCAGTTACGATTATGCTTTTATCCGATGATCATTCGCACAGAAAATTTCAGTTTTACTTTGAGAAAGAAGTTTTGATAATTTTCGTTTTGTTTTATATTTGGCCCATTTCGGCCCATGGGTGCTCATTACAATTTCGGCCCATTGAGACTTCTGAATGGTACATAGGTCAGGCACTGTTATCCATGCAATAATCAAAGTCAGTTGTGCCTGCATAACATACAAGATATTCTATGACTTATGGTTATTTATTTGACTCAATTATGATCAAAGTACATTAGTTCGGTTTTTGTCCAGATTCACAAACTTTTTCAATACGGT